TGTGTGTGTGTGTGAATGTGATGGTAGCATATTCCATTTAAGTACTGACACTATCAATAATTAAAAATATAATACTGAAGTTAATTTAAACAAATTTTAAGCATTCTTTACCCTCCTCATCAGTTTCTGGGTTACTTTTCAAAAGAAAGCCATGGAGGTAAGAGGATGGAATTTTGAGAAGGAGGAAGGACAGCAAAACAGATTTTCAGAACTGCCAGAAGCATTGTGACTACTGGATTTGATGCCTTCATAATCCTCTTTTAGCTTTTACTGCTGCTTAGTCACAGTAAAAGGAGACACTGCAGGACTTATTGTTAATGCCTCTGTCAAAGCAAGCAGACCTCTGTTGAGCATCTGTTCTCTAATAGGTCTCTCTCTCTCTCTCTCTCTCTCTCTCTCTCTCTCTCTCTCTCTCACACACACACACACACACACACACTTTTCCTTTGTCAATCCTTCCACATCTCTCCTCTCTGAGTATGTGCCTTCACAGAGAGCCCTAGCCTCAACATAGACTCGAAGAGCCATTTCTGTCACTAGAAAGCAGAGTGACATTGTCTGGATCCTTTAATTCATTGAGCCTCAGTCTTTTGATCCATGAAACAAAAGTGGGTGCTCTTTTGTTTTAGTCTTGGTCTGATCCAAAAGATCTCCAAGTCACATTCTTATAAAAGAAAATCTAGAAATATTTGAGATCATTCTTCACCTTATGGTCATGTCTTTACATGTTGTAAAATATACATTCATGTAGTAAGTGCACACACCTGTACATATGTGTTTTCTAGAAAAATATACAATTTTAATGAACTCTGGAGAATTTTACATTATGTGTGGTGATACTAACTTTTATTTCCCCTCTTTCTATATCTGTATTCAACTTTGAAAAGAAAAATGGGAGTATCTTCTTTCCTGCTGCACTTGTTGGAAGTCAAACGAGATCAAGATAATGGAGCTGTTTGTGGGTTCATCAAACAGGATTTCCTATTGCTTCATGAGCATGGGGAGTCTGTCATAATCCCGGCTATACCAAGCTCTGCTAGGCTTTATTTCAATCTTAATTTGATAAGGGAGATAACCAACGGAAATCAAATGAGTGATTCTGACAGCTAGGCAAATGGATACATTTTACTGGTCTGAATTTTATGGTAAAACCCTTGATTCCAAATTTTTAAAATTATGCTTTAACAAAATCATTATATGTTTCTGATAGTCTATGACCACATAAGAAAGATAATTAAGGGTGTATAGCATTTATACCTGGCAAGCAATAACTAGAACACTTTTACTTTTGTCTGTACAGTATTAATGGCAATTCACTTAGCATACTGTAAGTTCTTTCGAAGATGAGTGACTTTTCATAAGCCTATGCCAGAGTTAAACCAGTACAGTGAGGAGAGAAGCTCAGCTGAGGAAAACAGCAGTGATGTAATGGCTAAATATAGACTCAAGGGGAAGGACCAACCCGTTCTGAGTCAGTCTAGTCAATTCCATCCTTTTTAGCTCAGTGTCACCCTATAGTCTAAGCTAGTTTGCACTGAGGAACCAAGACATCCTTCCATTTGATTCTTCATTTCCATTATAGTTTTTAGATAATGCATTATCCACATGGTATGCTTAACTCTTGGAAAAATGCCAATCAAAATATTTTAAGCCCTTGTGGCAAACCTTTGACAATATAAATTACTTTAAAATTCTTATTATTCTTGGAATGATTTCATTATGTTATCTCCTTAACTTCTGATTTCATTTATCTTTTCCTACTCCACACTGCAATATGCCTATAAACTACTCTTAAGGTTCCCTGTCATCATGGTGTGATGTTTCTATTCAGTTCAAGTTGGAAAGATCAGATAACATCATAATACTGGGTTCTCAACGTTCCTAATGCTGTGACCCTTTAGTACAGTTCTTCATGGTGCAGTGATTCCCCATACATAAATTATTTCATTGCAATGTCATAACTGTAGTTTGCTACTGTTATGATTTGTAGTATAAATATCTGGTAGCAGAGGATCTGCTATTAGATCTCTGTGAAAGTGTTGTTTTGACTCCCCAAAGGTTCTCCACCCATAGGTTGAGAACCAGTCACAGAGGCAAGGTTAGAGAGCTCAGAAAGTAAAGGTATTGGGAAGTAGGTACCGTAGCAAAAGGTATTTGTAACAGGCATGAGATATATTGCCCAGGTGTTACCTCAATCCTGAGGCAACCCTTCCATGTTGGGGATTTTTGTAGCCAACTACTGCTGGCTTTTCTAGAGAGACTTGCTTACCCACGGTCTCATCTCTTTCCCTAGGGTGGCTCAAACTGAAGAGTGTTGGTCCCATTAAATATGTCATACCCTTATGAGACCAATTCAGCTTGCTTAGTTAGCAACAAGAACAGAGACTACATACATTTGAAAGGGTTCTCAAATTTATCCAGTAAACAACTGAGTCATTTCCTTCAAATATTTTCCTCTATAACTACCAATCAAGCCAGTGCTCTCTGTCTCTCTGTCTCTGTGTCTCTCTGTCTCTGTGTCTCTCTGTCTCTCTCTCTCTCTCTCCCTCTCTCTCCCTCTCTCTCTCCCTCTCTCTCTCTCTCCCTTCCTTCCTTCTTTACTTTCTTCCTTCCTTTTAACCTTAATTTAATTGATTTACTTATTCACTTAACATCCTGCTCACTTTCCTCACCCTGTCATCCACCACCACCACAATCCTTCCCCCACTCCCACTTCTTCCCCTTTGAGATGTCCCTACATATTCCCCCAACTTGGTACATCAAATCTCTGTGAGGCTAGGTGCTTCCTCTCCCACTGAGGCCGGACAAGGCAGACCAGCTAGAAGAACATATCCCACAGACAGGCAATATCTTTTGGAATAGCTCCTGTTCCTGTTGTTCAGGACCCACATGAAGGTCAAGCTGCACATCTGCTACATATGAGAGTAGAGGTCTAGGTCCAGCTCATGTATATTCTTTGATGGATGGTTCAGACTCTGAGAGCCCCAAAGGTCCAGGTTAGTTGACTCTGTTAGTCTTCTTGTGGAGTTTCTGTCCCCTGAGGGGCCTACAATTCTTCCTCCTATTCTTCCATAATAATTATAAGTTCTATTCTCTGTTTGGCTGTGGGTGTCTGTATCTGTCTGAGTCAGCTTCTGGGTGAAGCCTCTCAGACGACAACATGCTTCTATCTGCAATACTATGAAGAGGCTAATATCTTTTTTGTTTGTTTGTTTGGTTGGTTTTTAGAGATAGTCTCTCTGTGTAGCCTTGGCTGTACTAGATCTTGCTCTGTAGACCAGGCTAGCCTTGAACTGACAGAGACCTCACTACCTCTGTCTCTTGAGTACATACCACCAATTGCCATGTTTGGTCCATATTTCCACTGTAGCCATAATCCCTGTTGATGTCCTGGCCCATATGGCCAACAACAGCCAGGCAGATAACCATGGTCTGTGCTGCAGCCTTGTCTGGGTCTGTGGCACTACTGTAGTCAGGGCCATGTTTGTGGTCTGTACTGTCACCAGAAAGCATGAGGAAGCCCATGATCAGTGCTTCTGCTAATAGTAAAGACTAGGGAAGCTACTTTGGCAATGATGTTGATGACTGCAGATATTCATTTGAGAAAGAGGGACATGGAAGGTTTCTGTGACCACACCATTCCTACTACAAGCTCTCCCACTCCTCAAAAAAATTAAATTAAATTAAATTAAATTAAATTTAAAAAGTAACCTATACAGGATAAGAACTCTTAAAAAATGTGATAAGGATGCTGAAAAATAGCTCTCCATAGTTGATGTCTGCCTGTGGGGGATGCTTGAGGGGAAGGGCTCAGTTCTATTTAAGGGGCATGCTCCAGTGATATCTATCTATCTATCTATCTATCTATCTATCTATCTATCTATCTATCTCACAAATTGGATTTTTTTTGGCTTGAGGAGGTCATAAGGGCAGAGGGTTAGAATACAAAGAGATGGAAGTACTGGAAAGCGAGTGTGATTTGGGTGTATGAAAAGAAATTCTCAATGAAGCAAAGAAAATATTATGTTGAAATAAAACCAAACAGAGACTACATGGGATAGGATACTGCCATAGTCACCAACCATGCAGACCCACACAATGAAGTGTTTCCCCTCCCAGCTGAATCTTCCCCCAGAACTGGCAAGGCAGCAGCAGGGAACCATGAACAGCCAGTGCTTGCTCCCATTTGACCAAGGGAGAAGTAGATGAATGCACAGGTGTGTAACACCACTACATGTTCCTAACACTCCTCCATGTCTCTAAATTTCCACTAGCCACAACCTACCTCATGATTCCTTTCTCTGCTTTTAGAACATGTTTCTCTTTTAATTTGCTCTAGAATATCTTTCTCTCTTAGGTTGGAGAAACAAATTGTATTATTAAAGATAAACAAAGCTGTCTTATCTATACCTTTATTCCACTGAGTCCACTGTGGACTTAAGCATTTTCTCCTGGTTGTACAGACCTCATTGTCTTTATACCAATTGGGCACATCAGCACTAAGCACCCAACTGCATGCTTCCTTACTATTTTATATAGGATAGTTTTATCTTCCCTTTGTAGCACAATCTGCTGCTCACACAATAGTATTTCTGATCTTCCCTGCACCCACATAAAAGATTTCATGTCTTTTGTCCCCTTACAACCTCTTCTACAGTACATTTTGTAGGAACCAGGGAAAGTGGACTGGTAACAAACATTGGTGGGGGCATTGTCAGCCTTATCTGCTTCTGATTCATTATTTCCTACAATTAATTTTACCTTTGCAACTATTGATATCTTAACTTGAACATGGTACAACAGTGGCATGGCATGACCATGGTTTTTTCTATTTGGAGGGATACAGAAGAGACTTGGGCAGCTTTCTTTCTGGCATCTTCCTATTTGCTATGAATTAGACCTGAAGCTCAAAATATTCTGGAGTGTCAAGTGGAGAAGGGAAGCTCTGTGATTCCAGGATAAGGCATAAATTCCTCAGCTGTGTTCTTCTGTCTCTTCAGGGAAGCTTCTATGTTCCCTCAGAGAACTGCATACAACATGCACACAAGTGGCATCGGGATCTCTGTCTACTGCTCCTTCATGCCTATCGGGGCCTCCGACTCTACTTCCTGGTCATCATGAGAGACATCCCTGAGCTGCCTACCATGGAGCTGGGTAAGGGGATAGAAGGAGAAACCCTCCTTCCAGAAGTTGACATTCCAAGTTGGCATGTGAATGGAGAAAAGGTTGTATGCTTTTGTGAAAGTCATGGTGAAAATGTGATTGGTCATTGAAGCTGTTCTGGGATCTACCTTATTGTATTAAGAGACACTTTGGAAGGACAAATGGAGCGAGAATACATATGAGTACTCCAAGACACCCACTCATTCATTTATGTATCAAATAGATATTTCTTAAAACACCTACAGCATACCTGGCATCCTATCTAATAATGTTCAGCTGCTTTTGTTAGAAAAAAATCTTGGTATCACACAAAGGAACATACATACAAAGTCAAAGTATTTCCAAAAGGCAATTATTTTTGCAAAAACATTGTGCCAGAACCCAAACTGGGCTAGCAGCACACCAGAGCCACCATGGCTTCTGTATTTCATCACTGAAATAGGTAGAGACTGAATCTTGCATTATTGGTGAGCTCTCAACTTCATAATCTAAAGTGATTGCCCAATCAAGTAAAGAGCAAGGTTCTTGAGTCCTTCAGTTCTTTCAGGGCATCAACTACCATTGATTAAAACACACACACATACACACACACACACACCCCACCTCTCTCTCTCTCTCTCTCTCTTTCTCTGTCTCTTATTTTCTAGAATAATTTGTAAGCTTAAAGTCTTTTATATTTAATATGACTATAGATTGCAACTAATAAGCATGTATAACAGCTTTACAAAAGAGCACTCTGTCCACAGAAAGGAATCATGCATGTACATATATGAACACATATAGTCATTCATATCTCTTATATTTGTATGTATCTAATTTTTCCTTTTACTATTCTATAAAAAAAATCTAGAACCTATAATGACAAACTTGGTTATGGGGACAAAAGATGTTTTTCAAAACTAAGTATCATGGAGACTAATGAGCCTAAATTCCTCTTAAGTGATAAATAAGAGAAGTCAAAAATAGAAGTAAAGTCACTACATATAGCAATATGTAGACATGACAAAAGCATAGAGATCCTACACTGACTGCCTGGAGAAGGGAAATTTGGTCCTCCCCCCCATCAAAGCATACCGTCTGTTGAGGTTCCTCTCAAAGTTCTTTGGACCAGAGGCTGAACCCAGAGCCTAGGAGTCAAGGATGATGCATATTTCAGTGTCTGAATCCCATTGAGTGCTTATTCTGTCTGTTCCTCTGGATAACTTCTGTGAGAACCATATCATTGGTAGTGCCTGTGGCATTGTATCACAAGCAGGCCACATGATAATGTTATATTTACAAGTTCCTTTTTATCTTCAGACTATGGGGTCTCTGAGAGCTTGTTACCCCTCAGATTCCTTATCATCTGTCTCTAGTCTTTAGAGCAAAGGAGTGTTTGTGGTGCTTACACTGGATTTCAGAAACTCTTCATTAGCCATGACAGCTAGTCAAGCCAGTGCCCTGACTTTGAATCAGGTACTTTTTGACTTGGAGTTTTTTCAGAGGCCAGTCTTACACAGCTTGTAAAGCCATACACTAGAGACTCAGACTGTGATCCTTAAGTAGAGCATTTTTTTGCATATGTGAACCCAAAGATTTGACCTACAGCTCCACAAAAACCAAATCAAAACCAGTACAGAATCAGAGCCCAGTTATATTGCCCAAAAGAAAACAAATGTTATTAAGCAGCATTTAGCAGAAGAACATCTTGTTACTTAAAAAAAAACACAAAGTTTATTTACTGAAATATTTTCAACATACTTTTGTTGAGCATCTTCTATACACTGGCCATTGTGCTGGACATGTAGGATATATATATATAATTTCTGTTCAAGGGGAATAGAATGGATTATACTGGTGAGGCATGGACTGAGTACACTGGTCAGATGGAGGTTCAGCAGGACACAGATATGCTAAGAGATGGTTCACATTGCCTGATGCAGTGTAACTGCATGCAAATGACTCATTTTGGCATTGGGAAGCTAGGAGAGAGTTCAAAAACTATCAAAACTCTGATCATAAAAATCACAAATATCTGGAGACCACTGATTCGGTCTGACAAGTTGGTTCATAGCAAGCTGTACCATGTGTAGCCTGGGTGGTTATGATCCCAATTAGTGTCATTTTCCCTGCAGTTTACAGTCTACTCAATTCTGCCACTCCTCTTTCTTGAGCTTCTGACTTTTGGCTCCATCATAGAGACAGAAATCTGTGTTCTCTATCTGTTAGAAATTATGTGTTTGTGAGTCTCTCATTCTCTCTCTCTCTCTTTCTCTCTCTCTCTCTCTCTCTCTCTCTCTCTCTCTCTCTCTCTCTGTGTGTGTGTGTGTGTGTGTGTGTGTGTATTTGTGCACACGCACACACATATGCATCTGAAAACACATAAATAAACGTAGACTTATTTCGGGCACACAAATTGTTAGAGATAATAAAGGGTCAGTTGTATCTTATAATTCCACTCAGAAATCCACTATGTGTTTCCTCTTGCATTCAATACATGGTGCCAAATAAGGTTGATTCTCTTCAAAGTGTGATGATTAGGAGAGTCTTCTGGAGTTGCCTGTGTCTCACTTTCTCTGACTTTTTCATTTAGAGCATGAAATTCAGGCCTTTCTCTTTAGTTAGAAAGTACAGCATTTAGGTGGGGTCTGTTTAATTGTGTTGTCTTTTTCTTGTTTCCCAGAGGCTCTTGCTGTTGAAGAAACACTTTCTCAGCTGTGCTCAGAGTTACAGGTAATTACAGTGCAGACCCTGAGTCTGAACAGATGGAAGTACTTACAGTGCTAGACCACGCTGGTTTTGCTGGCCATATAGCATGTCAGTCACTGAAGCCACCTTTTCCCCAAAGGGAATAAGTGAATTCACAGGTACTAATGTGTGGGGATAAGGGATGGGCCTGGCCACAAATCTGCCTATCTGAGGAAAGGGCTGAGAGGCTTCCATGGCATAAGCAAAGAGAGTGTCTGAGGCCAACCTAGGAAAAAGATTGGCAACAAGGAAAACTAATCATGTTTGGAACATGTACTAGAAAGTTCATGGCTTGTTCTCCAGGCGGCAGGTTCAGAAACGGCACCATTAGCATTGTATGTGGGTAGACTCTACAGATGTCAAAAGATCATGCAGCGAACACTGTGCATACTCAGGTGAAGGAAGAGTTCATGGTTTCAACCTTTTTAAGCAAGACAAAGCTATATTCAGATTCCCAAAATCTTAGTCTTCCCATATAGACCACAGGTCAGGGCATTGTGGGGAGTGAATCTAGTGATGAGTGTGTTACCTCACTGTTTGCTCTTAACATTTCATTTTTGGGTTTTAAGCTTAGGTAGGGATGGAGAATGACTCAGGAAACTTGAAAGAGGAAAAAAATAACTTTATATTGGGGACTTGGTTTCAGGTTTGTAAAGCAAACAATAGTTTGAATGTGGTGCAGAATGTCACCTGCTGTGATTTACAATCCCATGCTCACTCACCTTGGTAGAGTGTAATGGCCACACTTTAGAAACGAGAGTGATGACAACTGTCACTTGAAAAAAAAAGAGTTTAGTATTGCAAGGAAGTTTTGTGAGTGATGTATCTCTTCAGTGCTGGAAGCCAGCCTCAAACCAGACCTTTGTGCCAGAGTTGACAAGTTGTTGAATCTTTATGAATCTTGGTTTTCCCATCAGGGGCTGAGGAGGTGGCTCAGTGAACAAGGTGCTTGCGGCCCAAGCATAAAGAAGACACTTCAGATCTTTAAAACTCATTTGAAAGAATGGGTAGGCCAGGCCTGGTGGCTGCCTGTAATAAATGGGCTCCCAGGGAAAAGGTAACTAGCTAAGCTAGTCAGAATCGCCATGCTCAGTGTTCAGGAAGAGAACCTGTCTCAAGAAATAAAGTAGAGAGCCAGTGAGAAAGGTACTCAGTGTCAACTTTGGATTTCCAAAAGCAAAAACATACATGGGCATCTGTGTACACATGCACCTATACCATGCCAACATGTAAACACCACAGATACAGACAGAGATCAAACACATCTGGTTGTTCTTTGGCCTCACTTTCTTACAGCTATAAACACAGTATGGGCCTGCCAGTAACCGGCTGCTATTTAGTGTATACTGCATGAAACTTCATCATTTAATCAACAGAATTTTCTGGAAGATAAGTCGTCCATGTTCCATGGAGGAGAGAGTGGTGATGAGTCACAGAGTGAATGAATTTATCAGGGATGCAAGACTAGCAGAGCCACCAGTCTCTATGTGGCAGAGATTTTCACACCCCAGCACAAAGCTACCCTAGGAAACAAACCTGATGACAAGAAATAGTAGAATTTTGACCTATGAACATGGGGCCTGGTGCAGACAGTGACTACGAACAATGCCAATCATATTGTGTTTGCCACAATTACCATGGGGATCTAGTTTGACATTCTCTTCTTCACTGACTAATTTCTAGTACTGTAGGGCTTTTTGGCAGGTGCTATGGTCAAAGAGCCAACCATCTCTTTTTTCTTTGGTGTCTTCATGAATGTCTCCTTTGCAACTATGGCACCCCTAACCAGGTGAAATTTGATTCACTTCAGTCAACAGTTTTAAGTTCCCATTAATTGTGAGCACCCAGGTCATTTCTGGGGATGTAGTGGTGATGCCTTCCCCTAGAGCACAAGGTGAGGGAAGGAGTCTAGCACTCCTGGGCTTTCACTGCTAAACTGCACACAAATGTAGCAGTGTCTGGACAGGGCTACTGCAAACAGCAGCAGACACTCCAGATAGCATGTCAGTAATTCTTTTCAAGAGAAAGCAAGATTTTAGCAGGGTCTAAAGAGGAGGCTACTTTGAAATCAAGGACTTAGAGAAGACCACAGCCTTGTGATATTGCACTAGGCCACTGTTAGAGATATAAACTGGGAGGATTCTTGGTGCAGGGATAGTGGAGGGAGAAGAAGCCTGATTTCTGTGAGGACAGGATTGACCGAGGTACCAGAGGTGAGTGGAGGCTCCTAATCAAGAAGCCTGAATGTCTTATTCACCATGTGGCCTCGATAAGTTTTCCATGTCACTAGGAGTCATGAAGTAGGAGGATAATGTATCCTTTGGAGCATGTGCAGAAGAATAAACTTCTAACATATACCCATGAGGAATCTTCTCATCTCCATCCATTCTCTGATTTGGAAAATGGATGCACGAATAGGATATCTAAGTTCATGCTCAACCATATAGTTTCTAACATGTCTTACTCTAGTCAGCATTAGGTAGCCCAGGTTAAATGCTCAGTCTTACAACATTTTCTCTCCTTCAGAAGTAGTTTCTGGAACTATCATAATTTGACCAACAGTTATGAGATAGATTTGTAATCATACATTTTAAAGTCAGATGATCACATTTAGTGGCTTATAAAATTCAGGAAACACTTTTCTAAACATTGCCAATCTGTTATAAGAATAATACATGGGGCATGAGTGAATAGCTAGATGAGGAAGCATAGGTCAAAATTGGAAAAAGGAGGCTGAGGGTGGAGCTTCTTTTCCTTGAGTTGAGCTAGGCCAACTTCAGGCAAGTGGGTATATTCACTATTCTGGGAGCTCTCCAATCTCTGACTTTGAAGGTTTCTATGTATTAGAAGCAGATCTGGGATCCCAAGGAAGTTATCACACAGTCCAACTTATTCCAGCAAGGAAAACATTCCACTTCTGAGGAAGGGTTCATATCCACAACACATCAAGCAAGGAAACACACACAGTGGGGCCCTGTTGTTTTGCTTTTTCCCTAATGTGAAGGGGTTTTCTTTCTCACTGAGTGGTCAGAACATGACCTCAATTTCACAGGTTTCATAAGTCAAACCAGAGTGCTGGCAGGCAAAGTGCAGTCCTGAGGAGACCATGAAACTATGGATATATATTTTGATTCCAAGAAGTGCTGGCCCTGGAGGAATTTGAATTTCTGCCAGATCACTTCTTTACAATTTTAAATGAAATTTATTTTATATAACCCTTTGATAGAAAAGATAATACTAATTTCCCACACATGGAAGTGCCAGTAAAGAAACATGATTGATTAGTTTCTGGGCATTGGTAACTCAGATCTAGGAACAGTATCCACTTCCTAATCATCAGCTGATTTTCCTGGCAGTAGTCTCTAGCCTATAGCTGACCAGGGGCCAGTGATATCCACTTCATGTGTTTATTAGATAAACTTTAGTAACAAAAGTCACACACAGTCTTACTGCTATGAGTTTGCAGGGTGCTGGGATGCTCCTCACCAGGATCTCAAGACTAAAACGTACCTGTGACCTACGGGGGAAACTTGAATTGGAAAATGTGACAGTGGTTTTATCTACAGTTACAACAGTGAGGTCCTCAGGGCAATCTCTTCACAGTATTCAGGGGACAGTAAAGGAAGTGCTTACACACATTCACAGTGGCAATTGGATACAAAGAAGTGGTGCCTCCTCAAAGTTTTGGAGCCATTGAATGAGATTGTCAAACTTGACAAGGGGTAGTGGTAGTCTCCACTTGATAGCAGTGAATGCTGTGGCCCTGGCCCCCAGGACACCTTCATATTTGACCATTTGTCACCTCGGTGAATGCACTGATTTATGTGAGTGTTTTGAAGGACAGAGCTGTCAATAACTTTATCAGCCATATTTCCCAAAAGAGCTACTGTTCACCTCCAGCTCTTGCAGCAGAGTCCCAGACTCCGTAGAAAGTCTTACTGTTCTTCCCCCTCTGATAATCTCATGTGTATATAAATAATGTTATTTCTTTTAACTTTCTACTACTCTCTTTCATGTCCCCACCTTTTCTGGATGAAACTCTTCTTTTCATGTTCCTCTTCTACTTTCATTCCCTGTGTGTTTGTGTGTTTATGTATACGTGTGTTCCATTGAATTCTATAGTTCTCCTGATGCTACAGGAAATATTTAACCATGTTTTCTTGAAGAATCGTATTGTGTAAGAAGTGCTGAGAGGTGATAGGGTGCAAAGTATTAAGGGTGAAGTGGATGGATCTTCTTCTTCTCCTTACTCTTGCTCTTAATGGATAGACTGACAGAAATATTGCTGGATACTAGTAAAGGCTCCAAATCACAGAGCTGGGATCTGTTTAGAGATGGAATAGTGCCACCTCCTGGCAAGTGCTGAGCGGCAGTGAGTGTGTTCATCTCAAGCATTGCTACTGTGGATGAAGAGCTGCATGGTTCCTATGACAATGGAAAACCTAGAGGTCTCTAGCAGCAGAGTGCTGTCGGAGCATCTTTACTTAGTGTGAGAAACTTACCAATTAAAGAAAAAAACAAACTTGTCATGTGTTGGCCACTCGGATATCCCCTTTATACAATCAGGTAAGAGACCACCCAGCACTTGCAAACCAGTGAGAAATTGCTTTGTTCTGAGATAGATCAGACTCAGCCCACATGGCCAGTACAAGAGTTTGGGGAGTATAAATAAAAGGTAGCAGAATATGGAGGAGTGGAGGTCCTGGCTCTGTCTGGGGAGCTAAAATGTCACCGAGGAACAGGGAGGAGGGTATCAGACACCTGGGAGGGAAGGGCACTCCTCCAGGCAAAGGTAACAGCAGTGTGAAGCACAGGTCACAGATGAGTGGGAGCATGGGCATATGTATCAACTTACTGTGGCATGGAGATCATGAAACCCAAATATAAATGATATACTGGAAGTCTGGGTGCGGAGATGCTGAGGGTTTTCCCAGAATAAATTAATCAAACAGCATAGTATGCTCCCTTACCAAGAGACTGATGTGTCACACTTGCTGAGTGGTACTGGAAAGTATGTTTCCTAGTTAGGGCTAGCTTCGTTTTTTACTGTAGCAATTTAAGATTTTTCTAACTTATAAAAGATTGCTTTGTATTTATCCTCATGAACTTTTGGGAATTATTCAACTATTTAGTAGTTGTTAACAGCATTGCCCCTTCTATTGAGAAATACTCAAATTGAAGACTTAGCAAGAATGTGAAAGTTGGGTTTTGTTTTGTTTTGGTCAACTTTCTTGTCAGAGGGCAATCTTATCTGCTTTTCCTGTTACCCTAATACATCACCCCCATCAAGAGCAACTCACTGGAGAAAGTGTTTGTTTTGGCCCACATCTCCAGGAGGGTGGTAGTTGCTGTGAAACGTCACAACAATAAAGCCTTGAAACCAAGATGCAGAGAGCAAAGAATGCTGGTTATGAATTACCTGTCTCCTTTTGTACAGTCCAGAATCCTAAGCCTACGGATTGGTGCTCCCCACAGTAGGTGGGCTATCTTTCCACCTTGATTTACAAAATCAAGATAATTCCAGAGCATATCCAGATGCCAGTATCCCAGGTGATTCTAGAGTTCACCATGTTGCCAGTTGAAGTTAGCCATCATAGAGGTTTGGAAAGTTTCAAGTTAGGAAGCAACATTAGATGGCTGAGGGTCTGAAAGGATGCCCTGATTCAGATGGGCCAGATGAGAGATGAGTTCTCATGTGCCTGCTATGGAGGAGCTAACCTTGATTTCAAGGAGACAGATACGATAGTAGTGCCTTAGAACTGCCCCTTCGTTCAAAAATCATGCACAAATCACACACACACACACACACACACACACACTTGAACATGTGCACACACACACATACATACACACTATTCTCTTCACTTTCTGGCTTTCCACAATGTAGCTTACCTTGTAGCACAAAATGAATATGGAGTAAACAAAGGGAGCAGAGGAGTGATTGTGCTTGAGTCCAGTTAGTCAAGGTTCTTGGTAGTGGCCAACAAAGGTGGTTGAGCCTTGCTTCAGAGAATATACCTGTGAAAGCAGTGGGCCAAGATTGCTGGCTTATTAGTAAGTAAGACCTATCCCTCACCTGCTACAAAAAGCCATCCATACCTGTCACATGTAATTATACAGTTCCATGTGTCTGTGATAATAGGAAAGTCCTCCTGTGGCTTAATTAGGAACCTCTGTAACCTCAGATGAAGCTGGTTCTATAATCAACTAGGGAGGAAATAATTTTCCCAAAGACTTACTTAATGAATATCTTTCTTTTCCTCTCTTCTCCTCTGGTAGTTGAGCTCAGAATTCATACTGTGCCTGCCAGTGCCACTCTGATGGAGGAGGTGTTTTGAGGGCAGGATCAGAAGCCCAGAAAGGCAGGGATACATAATTGAGGCATGGGGATCTCTCAAAGATGCAAATCCACCTATTTCTATGCTAAAGGGTTGCTGAGTTCACATTATCAATTACCTACTGTGCCAGAAGTATAGATACTGAAAGGTTACACTCAAAATGCAGACAAACTGGGACAGCAGCAGTAAAGCATGCCACAGTTGTTAGAGGGATCACAAGTAAGGTCAAGGGAATCTTTTCAAGAAGTCAAAAGAGAGCAATGAACCTTATACTGATAGCATAGAGTAGTGTTGCTATACATAAGGGGAAATAGAATTGATTCCCTAGTCATTCCCTGGTTGATGATAGAGCATGCCAAAGGGATGGAAAGGACAAGAATGGGAATCAGAAGATGAGTGTAGTGGTAATTATTTAAATTGTTGGCATTCAATCTGGCTTTTCTTAATCAGCCGCCATGTTCCTGACTAGCCTAGACCTGTGGCCACGAGCAGAGGCTGCGAGCAGAGGTGATGTACTGCCAATGCTCAGCTCAGCTCAGGCCATCTTCTCAGGTGGTCATAGCCAGCAGCCTTGCCACCCACAAGACACCAGGGTGGGAGATGGCTCTGCCAATCTTCCACCGTGTCTCCACAAAGCTGGGCTGAGCCCAGACCATCCCACCATCCATGCTGTACCTGGTATGAATGAAACTCTAAAGCTCAAAGGCTTTATATGTTTGGTAATGCTCAATAACAGTATGCCCATACAATTAGAGGTGTTTCCCAGTTAGCTAACCTAAGTATAAATTGTTATCCAGGACTGCTCTCCATACCCTCGAGGCTCTTCATCCTCCTACATCTCTGCTCTCTCTAGCTCCTCCTCTTCCTTTTCCTCTTCCTTTCCTTACTCCTCCCACCTTAAGCTCCTCCTTCAGATGAGAGGGAGGACAAGGCATTCCAAAGAGAAGATGCTGTCTGAACAACACTGTAGTGTTGCAAACAGACAGGCCTGTGAATGCTGCTATAGGTAGTTCAGCCCAGCTGAGGCAATGATTATAAATTGAGTAAGAGACCTGGTAACCTTAGGTAAGGTGGGGAAGATTTCCAGGGCCAAAATAATGATGAATGTTGATAAAGTAGATTGACTGTCATTCGTAAAGATTCTTGTCATTCTTGGATTCTTGGATTCTTGGATTGTATTGAAAAGCTCTGTTTCCAGTCTGAAGTTTTCCCAATGATACATCCTGTCCCCCAAGTAAACTCCCCTGCACCATTCATTCTCTGTCCCTGAACACTCATAATGCTATATGGGACTGAGTTGTAAACAGTCATTAAAAGATATATGCACCTCTTAGAAGATGTTATGTTTAGCTGGAGTCTTACATCTGAAAACTAGTCATAATATCAAAGCAGGAGTCTCTGAGTTCTAAGAACTTCATTATGCAGCAAACGTCTTACTTCACTCTCTTACTCTTAGATACATCCCCTCTTCTGCTCTGCCTTCATCCAAAATCAAACCTCCAGTCCAAAAAGACTGCGTGTGGATGCAGTTGTTTCCTTTGAGTATTTAGTGAGGAAACAGAGGCACAGGATAAAGGAGGAAAAGAGTCTGGAGTTGATTGGCTTTTGCTTTGTGACTGCTCTATACCACTTGTGCTGGGATGTAAGTTAGAATGCTAGAGTGCCTGTCTGATATTCTAACTTACCACATGTCATTATTTTGTTGAACATGCTCTTGGGACAAGGAAGAGGCTATCTCATTGCTTGCTGTGTATTGAGGAGGCCTGCAGCTCAGTGGACAGCCTTCTTGTTACTCCTCAGTGGAGCATTCTTCTCATTTTCCCACAAGTAAAGCTGCACTCTTAGGATGGGATTCTCCCCATTCTAAACCATAGTTACCTGTCCAACATGTTCTGCTCCAAGATCTCAGGCCCACTGTAGTCTGACTGGCTCACATTGTGATTAAGGCATCCTGGAATCCTCCGTAAGAAGTGGGAAGTGATAATTAAGAAGATAATGATGGGTCAGGACACTGAAAGCCTGCCTAGTTAAGTATTCTAGGGATATGAGAACTATATTATCTCTGGAGGTATTTATAGATACCTACTATGGTAGAGAATGTTTTTGTGTGTGTGTGTGTGTTTAGGTGGTATTTCAGTTAAACCCTGGCTGGGTGAGATTTTGGATGCTCTATTAATTCACTGTCAGTTTACTTTCTGTGAAAGGATGCCTCTAATATTCTACCTAAATGATGATTGTATGGATTGAATGTGAAGCATGTATAAAATTTCTAGTCTTCCACCTGCCAAATGATCAGAAATGGTAAGTGGAGCCATGTGCTTATAAGGCTCTGAGTTCAGAGTTTAATCAAGTACAAAGTAGAGTCTAGCACTGAGATCTATGCTAAGGGTTTGGGTCTGAGGGAGGATGCTATGGTTGATATTCCCCATTTGTGCAATAGTGCAAAGGCCATGAAGAAGGAATCCCAGACTTGGATGCTAATATTTCGGAAAATTGGTATCTGAAGGGATGAGATTAGAAGTTGAGGTAGAGAGGGGAAAATGGGTAGCAACTGCATGTAAAATGAGAGAGGACATATTAGACAAGACATTTCTCGAAATACAGAAATAAGTCTCACTTAAAACAGGAACGAAGAGGGAAGACACAGCCTGGGGATAGACACAAGCAAATCTTATATGAAAGCGTGGGATCTGGATGTAAATAGACAGGAACTGCCGAACAGCTTACTCTTCTCATTACTGCCTCTCCCACCTTCAAAGGGACAGGAATACACAGGTATATATTATATAGCATGAGATATATGCTACAATACTACATGTTGTACAATAATGAGGTATTATAGCATGTGTGGGAATGTATAAAAGAGCAAAGAATTTGGTAAAGTTTCCATGTGGTGGACTGGAGCATCTCAATAGAGCTAAGTCTTTGGTTGACACCCTTTTTACCCCCCCCCCCCAGATGCTGAACAACCCGGAGAAGATAGCAGAGCAGATCAGTAAGGATCTTGCCTGGCTGGCTTCCCATCTAATGGCTCTGTGGACCCAATTCCTGGACACAGTAACCCTGCACTCCCAAGTGACCACTTATTTGACCCAGGAGCATCACACTTTGAGGGTAAATTGTAAAATGTGCTAAACTCTGATTGCATGCTTTTATACTTAAGGAGAAACTTTGCAAAAGTTGGTTCATTGAGAGGAACAGAATTGGGCATGGTGCTGATCTGTAGATTTCAACACTGGTCCCATTCAACAGTGAATGAGCATTGTGACATCAAATAACTCACTTAGATACTCAGTCCTATTCTCCCATTTGTAAAACATCTCTCTTGTCTATTTCTGATGATAGCTGAATTTATAAAATTGACTATTACAAGTGTCTCAAAAATACTTAAGAAAAAAATATTTTCAAATGCAAAGTGTTGCCCTTATTCTGGCTATATATGTATGCTGCAATGTAGATCGTCTCACTTTGAGCAAGTGAAATACAGGTCTGAGAACAAGAGTCCATGAAGCACATAGCAGACGCCACTGACTTTAGGAATTCTCTACACTGTGCATTTATTTATAATGCCAGCTTGGAGAGATCTCATATTCTATTTGATAGAATAAAACATAAATATAAAAATAAAACAGAACAGGACTGAGCTTATAAACACACACTATATTGTTTGGGCTACAAGCTATAAAGACATGTGGGTAGCTGTGGAGGAGGGCAGAAATCCTCTTATTTCAGGCTTCTATACAGGTACAGCTTTCTCTCCATTAAGACATGACACTTAATCTCTAGAAATCTCAAGTTTAGAAAATGGAGGTCATATACACTTGAAGAATTAAGCTGTTTACATTGTCATCCCTCAGGTCCGAAGGTTTTCTGAAGCTTTCTTTTATATGGAGCACCAAAAACTTGCAGTCTTGACCTTTCAGGAAAACCTGTGAGTAATAAATTACACACCCACTTCACCCTGTGAAAGTGGCCACCCAAGGCATTCAGCCCTCTTTGTTCCAACTTCCATTTCCTTTTATCTCTTGCTGTGAAGCAGACACAGGGCTTCCCTCTGCACACTCTGTCTGCAATCCTGTGCAGGCAAAGAAAGTATTTGCACTGGGGAGTGGGAGCTGCAGGTAGCAGGGAAGGTCAATAGCTGAAGGTTTCTTTTGTTCTATGCCATTATGGTTCTATAGAGAAAAAATACAAGATTTTCTAATTCTCTGCAGACATCTGTGCTGAGTTGTCTGCAAAATGAATGAAAGCAGATGGTATGGCCACAGACTATGTTAGAAAAGTACTATGATTCAGTAGCTATAACATATATTTAACATAAAGCTCATGATCTCTAATCAGGACTGATGCCTTTCTAAAACTGCCTTCTTGCAGAAAGAACTGAGAAGTATTCCAGAAAGTTAGAGGGGGTGATGTGAGTTGAGGTTTCTTAGGTACCCCAGAGAAGATGGGCAGAGACCCCACTGAGATCTTTTAGCCATCAGTATTTTGTGTTTAAGTAATCTGTTCATCTAAGGAATGATCATGTTTGAGAGGCCACATTGCATCCATCAGAGGAGGCTCATGGAATATTTGTGCTGCATAGGACAGACATGGAATTTGTTCATCTTTGTCATGTAACCCTGGAATTTCCACAGGTTTCATTCTGTATGCAGACAGTAACGTTTAATGTTTGCTCTTGGGATCTGAAAGTGAGTAGGACAGCAAGAAAAATGCATGTGCTTGTGAAAATAGTTTGTTCTGACATAACTGGAGTCTTCTACAGGGACATCAATGCATTCATTCATTCATTCATTCATTCATTTCAGCTTCAGCCTAGAACTGGCTGACTAATTCTTAAATTAGCACTAGAAAAAGAAATCTGTCAACATTAAAAATAACTTTGGGGGACTCATAGCAAAATAGAGAAACTCAGAACTATAGGAGGGGAAAAACATTCCCACATGTCTCAACAAAATAAGGAAAACTTGGAGTTTGTGTTATGTGTAAACCATGTTTCTCAGAGAGTATAAACACATACAGAAGGCTGGAGAGATGGCTCAGCAGTTCAGAGCACTGAGTGCTCTTACAGAAGTCCTAAGTTCAATTTTGAGCAACTACATCATGGCTCACAACTATCTCTAATGGGATCTGATGCCCTCTTCTGGTGTGTCTAAAGACAACTACAGTGTTTTTTAACCATACACATTAAAAAAAATAAACCCAAATAAATAAAATTGCTTACTTTAAGAAGAAAGAAAGAAGAAAAAACACACAGAGGAGAAATGTACAGAGGTAATTGATCTCTACACTAATTAATTTTCTCATCAGTGGGATTAAAATACCAAAGAACATCTATTTAAAGAAATGTGGCCCACACTTTGAAGGGCTGTGCTGGCAGGAAGTCAGGGCTGCAGGAAAGTGAGACAGCTGGTCATATGGCATCTAAATCAAGTAGAGCAAGAAATGCTTGTACTCGGTTCACTTCCTCTTTGCATCCAATCTTATTCAGTCTAGAACCCCAGCCTATCGATGGGACCACATTCTGAGTGGATCTCCCTTCATCAGTTTTGCTTTGGAAAATTGCTCACAGTCATGTCCCAAGGTATGTCTGTCTCCTAGGTGATCCTAAATCCAGTTGAATTGACAATGAAAATTAACAATTGTACTCCCAGGGCACAGTTTGGTTTGAATACCACCTATGCAAAGTACTATTAACACAGAGTATCTAGTGATATGTAAAGCCAAAGTAATTTGACAAAAATGATCTCAAATGGAGCTAGCTGTCAATTTTTTGTCTATTTTTATCAAATTTAGAATCACCTTGTATGGGAGTGCTGTTAATAGATGGACAAGATTTGGTTGGCCTAAGAGGATATCTATGGGGATTATCTTGATCACAATGATCCATGTGGGAAGAACTGCCTGCCCACTATGGGTGACACCATTCCCTGGACAGGGCATCCTGTAGTATAGAAGAGTGGAGAAATCAAGTTGAGTGCAGCATGCACTCTGATCTCATCTGTGACTGAACAGTTGCTTTCATCTGCTGTTATGACTTCTCCATAACAATAAATGATAACCTAGAAATGAGGTTCAAATAAATTATTTCTCCCTGAAGTGGCTTTTGGCAGGGAATTTTTATCACAGCAACAAGAAAGGAAATCAATGAATATATCAATGAATATATCACTCTTGGTTTCCTTTCGCATAAAATGATCAAAGGTAAAAGATGAAAGGATAAAGTGGGAACATCCATACACATGATAGAAACAGTACAAGCCACAGACACTTTTGCGTAAATAGTTATGTAAATATAGATGGTGATTGATGATTGGCCATTAATTTTCCAGGTGGACGGTAGATGCAATAAAGAATAATGCTGTTTTGTAGGTTTCCCATTCTACCTGAAAAGTAGGGGGCATAAATTTGCTCATCCAGGAAGTTACAAATGTCAAAGAAGATAAACAAGATAAAAGCATATAAAATGAGGAAGGACTATGACTAGTGTACTCATAAATCATTAACCAGTAGTTTCCAGAATCCTCAAATCAAATATTTATTGATTTTAGTTCTATGAATTTACCCCAAATGGTATTTCAAGTTATTTATGAGTTATCATGAAGTATGAAGCTAAAAGGAGACACATAGAGTTTGCATCTGCAAGCCCCAAAATCAACTGCCCTTTAGGCAAAATGGTGTGTGGATCATGAACTGATTTTAACAAAGTGATGAGAGAAAAAAATAAATTGAGGATGTTACATCTGACCTCAATATGGGTTTATAGCAACTCAGGCTATGAAAGTTGTTTATGGAGCAGAAAGAATTTCCATTAATGATCTGAGTTTTAAGAATGTGATGGACATAAGCCAGAACTAGAGGTTAAGAGTGAGGGAGAGGAGAATTGGGCCATGCACATCTCATGTATCACAAAATAATTCATATTCATGAGAATCCCAGTGTATGCATTATTAGCCTGAAAAAAAAGTTGGACATTAGCATTTCAAATCTCACTTGCCTGTTTTAACTTCTTGATTCTACTTGTACTATGCATACATTCCCAAACCTCTCTTAGCTAATTTCATAGATATAAAAAAAGATTTTTTTTTTCAGTAAGTATGTATATATTGTTGTCTATGTTCCAGATACCATTTCAGTTGTGGGCTATTCAACAGTAAGTAAACAGACAAAATCTCTATGAATAGACCTATGGTTAAAATGGTGATGAGAAGCATCTGTTCATTTAAGAGGAGTTGATACTGACGTGTTTGTCAGAGATGATTTCCCTGGGCACTTCACAAAGGAGTAGAGGTCTGAATCAGGTTGAAGTTGTCAAGAAGTTATGTCTTACACAGTAAATAGATTGTACAATATTTTTAGCATTCAATTGACCACCTATATCAACACAAAGCCTCAAGTAGAGAACACGTTACCAGAGAGATTCTGCTCAATAGGAAATACACTGTTATCCAACTAGTCAAGAACACAGAAAGATTTCATTTCAGAATGAGAAAATTACAGGAAAGGTGATAATTGCTGCTAACAGAATGAGTCTTGGGCTAGCATATTGAACACGGACTATGTTAGGCTAGCAGCCATGTCTAGACAGAGGTATGTTTATATGGGTGTTACAGCGAGGGAAACAAGCCATGATGGACAATCACCTGTTCACATGGGTGGCAGAAGTACACTCCCACATTAGGACTGAAGATGCCAGCATGCAAAGGCATGGATGAGTTTCTCTGTAAAGACCCATCATAGTCTGGCCTGGAAGAGATTTTGTGTCATAGATGAATTTTAACCACCTTTAAGTAGGCTGTAAAATCAGTGGATGTATTCGGGACAGATCTTTATGGGTGAGATTGTGTGGGACAGCAGAGGAAAAGATATAATGTATGATGGGAGAGGGGTATTTGGTTAGGCTTGTCAGTGTACCTGGGTCTGAGAATGTGTGTTTGTCATGAAAATAATTGGTCAGCAATCACAAGTAATTTGTGAAACATCTTAACATGAGATTTAGCCTGGCCTTGTGGCTGGGTGTGGCTGGCCCTCTTCTCTGTTTCTTCAATGCCTCAGTGAGGCCCTTTTCATGATAAAGAGAAATACATGGCTATAGAGACAGAAGATACTGTAGAGATTCATAGTACTGTATCATCTGCTATAGTGGGGAAGTTGAGATCTCACCTCGATTTTCACAGTTTCTGTGCTAATAATGATAACACTATTTAACTTAAAAAATTAGTTTTAATCAAAATATTATCTCATCACTATTGCTCTTTTCTTTCGTCCCTCCAGCTACTCCAATTCAATTTCTCCTTTGCTTCCTCTCAAAGTTTTAGTCTCTTTACACACACACTCCACATACATGTAAATATCTAAGTACAATCCCACTGAGTCTATTTTGCATTGCTTGTATGTCTATGATTTCAGGCCTGAGTATGTTGTATGGGACAACCAATTAAAAAGGTCGTTTCTGGGGGAAACTAATTCTCCCTTTATCAGTCATTAGTTATATGCAGCATGTACAACACAGTTTAATAGATAAAAGTCCATTCCTTCTGGGGCTGGAGAGATGGCACAGTTAGAAAAATAGCTTCCATGCAAATAAGAAGTCCTAAATTCAAGTACCCAGCCCCCACATAAAAAGCAAGGTTCCCTGGCAAGCACTTGTAATGCCAGCATTACAGAAGAAGCAACAATAGAATCTTTGGAGTTTATTGAGCAGCCAGTTTGGTTGAATTGGTGAACTTCAATATTAAGCTGACAAGCTCAACTATCCTCTATTATCATCTTTATGGAAGCCAGAGAGGCTAGGGGTATGACTCAGCCACATCCAAAGATCTTGAGACCAGGGGACCAGTCATGTCTCTAAAGGCCTGAAACCCTGAAGGGTAGAGGTCCTGCTGTGAGCCTCATGGCCTAACAATTGAAGAATCTGAAATTGTCACGTCAAATAACAAGAGAAAACAAAGGTATCCTGATTCTAGGAAAAAAAAATGTTCACCCTGCCTGTCCATGTTCCTTTCAGCCTATCAAATGGTCCCTGTCGACACTGAAGGTGGACCTGGCAGGCTAATCACCAGCCTAACTGCCAATGTCTTCTGGCTACACCCTTACATACTTATGAAACCAAAGATGGTATAGTATGCAGAACTGATTGAAACAGAATTATATTTAAATATCCAGATATAATATCTAAGTAATTAAATATTCAAAGAGGTGTAAAGTTGCAAAAACCTCTGTAGAGCTTTGACTAAAAGGAAGACAAGATTCCACTTTACTTCTATGAGGAAACAAAAAAAAATAGAAAAAAGTAATATAAACATTTAATTTATATTGTTATAATTAACATTTTATATACATATTTATATGAAACACACATATATACACACGCACATATGCTACAAATCACACATATGTATGTGTTAATCTCATGGTACTTCTATTGATGATGATATGATACTTAGCGAATTTGTTTTGAATCTGGGCAGGGTTACACTCTAGAGATATTTTTAGAGAGGTAGAAGGTCCACATGGCTGGGAAGTGAGATGAGAGTATCAAGAATTTATATAGGCTGTGACATAAAGAGACACCAGCAGACAGACAGACAGCCAGACGGACAGCCAGACAGACAGACAGACAGGGATACAGATAGACAGACACATGCTCAATCTTTTCCCAAACCTACAGTCTTATAAGTTCTTATGTTACTTTAGGGGAAAGTGACTGATTTGTTATATACAAAACTATAAAACACTAATTATTTTTTCTTTCATAAGATAATAAGAATTTACCTTCTTCTGAGTAAGTAATTAAAGTAGCATGCCCCTCCCAACTTTTAGACTGTAAAGGGTAATTATTTCAGATTCTGGAACCCCATTCTTATTGGCAGAATGGTGTTTGGGTTATAGAGAAAAAAATATTAGCTTTAAAACTGTCCTACAGGGAAACAAAAAGTATATCATCCTTCCTGAATTATATTAGCTTACATACTAATAAACGTTGTCAGTAATGACATAGTACTTTTAAAAAGCTACTTCAGGTGGGCTCTCAATTCAGTTGTTCAAAACGTGACTCAGACTATAAGTGGTTTGAAAAGTTTAAGATGCTGGAGTAATCGATGAGTGAATTTAACTTTCTCCTCCAAAGCACTAATTTTAGATTTGTAGCCATCTCTGAGCTAGTCTTTTATTTCTATAATATTTATCATCTTTCACTAACTGGCAGATGTAGCCTAGTCCAAAATCCACCGCATCAGTACCCGGATCAGTTCCTCAGCAAAGCAGACTGCCACACTGGGGGACATCTTAGATGGATGGGAGGATGGGAGATGGTCATTGCCTGTATCTGCTAAAAGCACTGTTAATGCTTTCTTGAGGTTAGGATGGTAAGATTCTATTGAAAACTCCCAGTCCTGTTTGGTTGATTACCTTTCTGTGTGTTCCACAGGATACAGACTCACAGCCAGCTATCCCTGGACATCCGGAACTCAGAGTACCTCACCAGCATGCCCCCATTGCCCGCAGAGTGCCTGGACATTGATGGTGACTGGAACACCCTACCTGTTATCTTTGAGGACAGATATGTGGACTGCCCTGTCTCTGGTTTGTCTTTCTCTGTTGTTTTGAAAGAATTAGCCTTTCTATGTCAATACTTGTGCATTAACAGGTTGTACCACTGGAGCTCTGGTGCTTGCTCTGGTGCTTACTCTTTACAACAGTAGAAGAAGTATTTTTTGTTTGTTTTGTTTGATTTTTTTTTAATATAATTTTTTTAAAATTTAAATTAACCATTCCATTCATTTACATCTTTGTTTTTGGTTTGTTTGTTTTGTTTTTGTTTTAATGAGAAGAGTTAGAATTAATGTCTATCTGGCATCTTCTGAGTCAAATGTTCCTGGTGCTAGTGTTTTTACCTATAGGATAAAATACAGACACAGACATAAACAAACACTGGTTTCTCTGGGGCTTGTGTTTTTACCAATAGAATAATACACAGCATATACATACAGACATATACAGATACACACACCCCAGAACAATCAAAGATGGTGATCTTTTGTTATTTCAACTGTGTAGTTTTAACTACAGTCATTTCTTTTTTAGCTTTAATGCTACCGTGTTAGTGCCTCTCTTTTGGTGGTGGTTATGGTTGGTCTCTTGAGATAGGGTTTTGCTATATCATTCTAGCTAGCCACTGAGTATATAATCCAAGAACATGTTTAATGCCACAAGGCAGGTCGAGGATTTGAGAAAATGGGCTGAGTAACTCATGAAAAAAATGCATCATGGTGTAAAAAGAGCAAGGTTGCACCCATTGTTTGTGTACCTATATTCAGCATGACTATAGTGTTTGTCAGTGAACACAAAGATCAACTGTAGAATGTCCAGACTTGATGAAAGGAGTGTCCCCTTTTTGTTTGCTCCTGGAATTTGACCATAGAAACCTAGCAGCAGTGACAAGAAAATGTTGGTGGTTTAATCAAATGGCTTATTTCTTTAATCCCTTAATATACATATATATAATTTCAGAGAGAGAAACTGAGTCATAGATAGAAATATGTGTGAAAGACCATGTGTCAATAAGCAACCAAACCTAACCCTTCAACTCTAGAGTCCAGGCTTTGCTTTTTATCTTACTGACGTGGTTTAAGCCAGGTTAGTTTACTTGTTGTTTTACATCATGGATCAAAATGGCTACATTTCAGAGACTCTGCAACTGGAGACTTTCAGTCTAGAATCTAGGTGACTTGCAGGGATAGAGCAAGTTTGCAAACACGAATTTAGTTTCCAGTTCTACTCTGACATCTAGCGTCAAGTAAGTGTATAACAAGTGCAGTTTGTACTCCATTATACTAAATCTTCAACCCAACTAGTAAATTTAAGTGGGCATGTATGCATTTGTGTGTGTGTGTGTGTGTGTGTGTGTGTGTGTGTGTGTCTGTGTCTGTGTCTGTGTTTGTGTATGTGTTCACATTTTACATACCTCTTATATCATTTCCAGTAAAATTGAACAGTTGAAGAAATTAAACACCAATTTTAATAACCTCTGATATTTTCACTTAAGAATAGGATGTAGATCATTTACTGGTCTTTTAAATTGCAGATATTGATAAATATTCCATTGAGCATAAATGTCAGTTTTCATGTGTGCGATCCTATAGTGGTCTTTTTTTTTTTCTAAATCAGCTTCACTTTTTCTTCTCTCATAGCATTGGCTGAAAAAAAATATTTTTTGTTTTGTTTTGTTTTTTTTCCAGAAGTTTCCCTGTCTATTGCATTCTACTCATGTGATTCATCTGGGGCTCAAATTTTAACATTATGAGACATGGCAGAGAGGTTTTTTCTCTGGGAAAATTTCCTCATCCAGGATCTTGCAAGCCATCTATTTCTCAAATTCCATTTCTGGTGACATGATAATATAACCTGTGAAATGCAACTGGATGGTGGAGGAGATTGCTTCAGATTCCAATTCTAGGCTAAAGAACATCATCGTAGAAAAGTCAAATTAGGAACTTCAATGAGCCAGTCACATCATATCCACAGTCAAGAAAACAAAAATTGCATGCTGTACTCTAGTACTTGCCTGTTCACTTGCATCTTCATTTCTCCATTCATGTACTTCATGAAATGATTCATGTACTAGAAAGTGATGGGCTGGGTATACCACATCAATCAACTTAATTAAAAAACCCTCCACAGACATATCCCTAGACCAACCCAAAGTAGAAAATCTATCATTAAGACTCTTTTCCCAAGTGATTCTAGCTGGGATCAAGTTGACAATTAATGCCAATTGTGACACATAAGTAATATTTTAGTATATCTTCTCTGTGTATTGCTAGTCATATCCTGTGGGCTGAGTATTGTAGAAATTATTTTATCCTAATCTGGGGTTTCTGCCCCACGTCAGATCATTTAGTTCCTGGATAAAAGACAAACACAATCTTTATATTTGCAATGAACCTTAAACAGTACAAGAGCTGGGAAGATACCTAGCCTCTATGTTGTTAGAATATAATTTCCTATTGATAACCCCAAGTTATTGCTTACTATTTTCATCTGGGCTGCTTTTAACTCCAATTGCCCCCAGGGCCACTTGGTCTTGACTCCTAACCTACGGCAGCTTCTCCTTTCTCCTCTTGCACGTTCTTCTCCTCTAGTTCTCCTCTGACCCCAAGCTGGAGAAACCTCTATCCCACCTATGTCTCTTCTGCCCAGCTATTAGCTATTGGCATCTTTATTTACCAATCAGAAATAACTTGGGGCCAAGGGTGCAGACTCTCTCATCTCTGGGACAACCAGGTCCTGGGGGCCTACACTTAGGTTTACAGTAGATTGCAAAAGACCAAACCTCAACAGATGAGTGCCAGCTTTATAGTCTCAACTTTCTAGAACAGTAAACATTTACTCTTAAATGTCTAACGGACTCCTCCAGCTGTCCCCAATAAAACCCTGACCTGCTGTATTATTACTGTCTCATAAGCATTACTGACTTGCCCACTTAAAACTCAAACCTTTTCCTGGCTGATTTGTTCTTTTACAAAGTATTTTTGATGGTTCTTTAATCCAAGATAAAATATCTTAGCAGAGCAATGAACTATTTCCTCATTCTGCAATAGTGTGGTGGCTTAAATAGTTTTATGTTGCTAACAGGTTATCAGACACAGTCTTAGTACACCTTTTCAGTGTGGCATCAAATAGGTTGTACATGAGTTTTGTTTCCATCTACACTATTTGTGTGCACTTGTGGTTAGTGCCAAAGCAGGAATATGTGCTCTATCAGAAATTGTAGTTGCTCTCCTGGGAGGCTATACCCTGATGCAAGACAACTGAGTTGGTTATACTGTCTAGATTTAAATATTTTCCCAAAATTAGTCTGTAAAATTGAACAAAATGCTCTCTTTTTCAGGGTCATTATGGGTAGTTGGGTAGACAAATGTATAAGACAGTGAAGGACTAACAGGCAAGCCTCAACGTGTAGTAACTAACAACATCAGTCATCAGTGTCTGACTCTCTGGATCTCTGAGTGAGATGCTTTGTTCTGCTCATTCTCTCACAGTTTTAATGACAAATCCAGATTGTGATGTTGGTAACAGTTTTGTCCCTGCCCTTCTTGTATCCTGTCTCATGGTTGAGGATAGGGCTTATAAATATTCTGGTTTCCAAGAATCGACAACTTGTTGCCTATGACAGTCAACACATACTCACCCATAGCTTGAAAGTTGGCTCATATTCCAGATTATCACTGCTTGTTCATAGTTATTCCCTTCTGTTTACTCTCACTTCATCCACTTAGGGTATTAGCGATGTCTATACAGACTGCATACCTCAGAACTCTAGTCTTTGCTTGTAATGTCCTTGTGTCTACCACAACTCAGCGCCTACTATTCTGAGGAAGATCGATACACATCCCTCAGAATAATTCTGTTTACTGTTATAAGTGATTCTTTATAAAGTGATTTTTAGATTCCCAGCAATGGAAATATAAAGAGTAAGGCTCAGAGGTAGCTCATGTACTCCTTGGCTCTCCACATGCACATTCTCTCCCCTGCACCATGAATATCCTCTTCCTGAGGGGAACTTGTGTTAAAGTCCATGCCTCTGTATTAGGTTAGTAATTATCATCTGAAGATGATTTGATACTAGCACTGTTCTGAGTTCCTTTTTGGTATGTGTTGACCACTATAGCATATTATAGCACATAGATTGGTTTTTAAGACCTTAAATCCATTCTGTGCTTTGCTCATATTTTCTTTCCCTGCTTGCCTGGTCTCTGGAAACCATTCATTCTAGCTTTGCCACAGCAGACATAAGTTTTGACAAAACAGCTGTTGCATCTTTGAGTGCTTTTCAGTAGTTTGAAAAGTCCATCAAGGCAAAAGCTCCTTGATGCTTATAAGAAATGTCCACCTTGTTGACTCTTACAAAAGATGCCCACTTTCCATCTTACCAACCCTCTGTTTGGTATGGAGATATTTTTCATCCAGTTTGTGCTAGTATAGTCTTTATTGTACTAAACATCATTGCAATTATTATATTCAAACCAATACAAGTAATCAATGAAGATGATATTCTTTGTTTTGCTAGATTTCTATTCTTGGCTTAGTTCCTTTCAGGAATACAGTTCATCAAATATGTACTTGACAGAATGTCAGCCTGTGAGTTTCAGAAATAAAACACAAGCTGTCTCCTCCAGGGAGACAAGTGCTTACAGGTGGATCATCATATGGTTGTAGGATGTACCACACTACATGTGTGTGGCAGGGATGTTGGGGAATTCTCAAAAGAGGATAAGCTGTTCTTGCTGAAGACTGAGGACAGATCTTCAGAGGAGAGCAAATGCCTCCCAGTATCTCCAGGTAAATGAGGAATTCATTCCTCCCTCAATCTGATTACATATTACACTAAAAGTTGTTAGTCATGTATCAAAGTCCCATGTGGTTTGCAAGTAGTATGGCTTAATTAAATTCATGGTAACATTTAAGAGAAATTGTATTGATGTAGCTTTTTAAAACCAAAGGAAGCCTTTTAAATTTTGATTTTTTACAATATTGACATGAGGTAATATGTTTCTTTATTACATGTAATACCTATTATTTTTATAAATTCTTCGAAGATCAAAGTTTTTTCATCATACTTACTTTCCCCCAACTTCTCCCTAGTATCCTACCCACCTCAGTTTCTATTCTGTTAAAAACAACAATAACACAAATTCATTAAGTCCTGTTTGTGTTGCTCCAATGTTCCTGGATGGATGTGGGCTCCATCTGGAAGCATGGTTGACCTTCTTTGCCTCTACTGCCCTCCCTTGTGATCTTGTTCCCTTGTGTTTCTCCTTTACCTTTTTGTTTGCCTCCATGGTTGCTAGGTACTGGAATTAAAATGGAAGTCTCTTATAAAGCTAAAACCAGAACTATATGACTTAAATGGTCATAATCATGGACATGCACCCAAAGAACTGTAAATCTTTCCACATATGATGTATGTTTATTGACACACTGTCCACAATAGTCAGGGAATGGAACCAGTGTAAATGTCTGTCAACGGGGGTGCATGTGTGTTATACGTTATATGTTATATGTTAAAGGAAGCACAAAAAAGATCCTCTTTTTTATGTGGTATATGTGGGAAATATCACCTGCCATATCTCAGATCTTGGGTTATGACAGGTGCATGCGGAGAATGTTTGTTACTGTCCAGCTGTGATAGACAGGAGGAGAAAGAGAAGATTTAAAGTTAGAGAGAGAAAATGGAAGAGAATGGCTTACAGAAAACAACTAAGAAAAACAAGATGAAAGGTCATACTTTGATTCCCCACTATTAGCCTCTGAAGATGGCTGTGATCCTGGCAGCTTCAGTGTGGTGTTGCTCTCACACAGGAAAATTCACTTGATGATGGAGCTCACATGTAGTAGTATTTATTCTGCAGAAAGTAGCACTCTTTGTCCCCATGCATAACATCAACTCCCACAGCGATTTATGAATGAGTGAAAGTCTTGCAGGTTCCTATGGGTTCTTCGCATCCTACAGTTTTGGAAGGTGAAAAATCTTACTGAAGTCTGCAGTTCACTCGCTCATGAGTGGCAATTTTGGAGTTCACAATCAGACCTTCACAGAACAAAAGTTCTTCTTACCTTCACTCTGTTACCACTGGGCTTATGATTGACCTTGTCACAATTGCAAATAGGAGATGCTAATTGTACTCTGATAAATGAAGTGGTATGGTAAGATAACATAGCTGTTTTTTCTCTGGACCTTTTTTTTCTTTTTTCTTTTATGCAGTGAACATCAGGCACTAACACTTCACCAAAAATTCATTTCAGAGTCTACAGGCAAACTGGCTGTCTGCAATTCTGGACAGTAGATATAAATTCTTGGTTCATATTAAGTTTCCCATGCCCAAAGATTTGTCTGGATGACTCAGAGAACTCAAGAGGGATCTGTGCTCATAATTGAAGTTTTATCGTGTGAACTAAAGGGTAGCTATCTTCTCAAAATAGGAACTGGAGGTCAGGGGATGGGGAGAGAGAAAGAGGTGGTGTGGTTTAGACAGAGACAAACAAAGGCCAACAAAATAGATGAAAGAGAGAGAGAAATAGACATGAGAGACAGAAGAGGCACTAGAAGTTTCTGTGTTCTCAGGATTCTATGATCTCATGAAGCATCCATCTATGCTATCAGTCTGTCAATCTGAGGAGTGTACTGAGCCATACAATCTTGAGTGTGCCTTGGTGGTTTTTTTTATGTGGACAGGATTCAGTGAGCCACTGGCCTCAACCTCAGATGCAGTCTTTTCACAAAGGTCTAATTGGCATTTCATTTCCCTTGGCCAACCCTCTAATCAGATGTTCTGTCATGTTCATATCCTCATTTCTCTCATCAACATAAGCTAATTGACATTTTAACATGAGTCACCTGATAAACATACAATATCTTTATATTCCCAAGTAAAAAAAATGTTTTTCTGTAACATGAGAACTTTCACAAATCTGAAGGTCATCCCCCTTCAAAAAATACTAATAAAGAGTGTTTGAATTATTTTCATGCAATTAGACATTTGAATACTTTATAATATCGATTTGTAAATTATAATACAATTTTCTTCTTTTGTTATAGGGCATAACTTGAGTGTTTATCCTAATTTTGATGTCCCAGTGACAAGTTCTGCAATAATGAATCTAAAAGGGAAAGAAAAGAATCTTATAAATCAAAAGTCATCTTCAAGAAAGGACCTTCCCTTATCTACTACAGAAGAACCCCAGCTGGGCTCTGTTGAAGATGTTATTAGGTGTCCAGAGACGGAGGAGAATGTCTCCACACGGAATCCTATGGATGTGTGCTCAGAATCTCAGGTGTACCTGACCATTGGTGAGTTTCAAAACAGAGCAGACATGGCTGAAGATGAATGCTGGACTGGCCCCAGGCCTGATGCTGTAAAAGATTCACAAACAGATGTGGACATATGTAAGATAAGTCCAGGCCCTGAGGAAGGGCAAACCCCAGCGCTAACCTACATTGATGTGCAATCTAGCAATAAGAACTGCCCTAAAGCTGAGCCCGTGCAGAGCCTTAATGTTCAGCATGAACACCGGAGCTCTCGGGACGGCTATGGCATTGTTAAGACTATGCCAAGCAAAGTTGTAGCAGGAACAAGCCAGAATAATTCTGTCTCTTTAAACCAAACAGCTTCACTTGAGTTGAGGACTCTAGGGAGGGGAGTTGACCAGGAGGGAAAGCCTGTCTTGCTAAGCCTGAAGCTCACGCCTGCCGAACCCTGTGACACACCGAGCACTTCTCTGAGGGAAGCTTTGGACACCAAGCCTTCCCTGCCTGACCATGCCGAAGAGCCGGAAGATCTTTCATTGCTCTCTGGCATTATCAAGAGGTCAGCCTCCATCATATCTGACTCAGGCATTGAAAGTGAACCAAGCTCCGTTGCCTGGTCCGAGGCCCGAAGCAGAGCCCTAGAGTTACCCAATGATCGTGACGTTTTACATCAGGTGGCTCGAAGGCATGCCCACCATAGGAACTCTTTGGAGGGTGGTCACACAGAGAGTAACACCAGCCTGCCCAGTGGCATTCAGGCTTCTCTTTCCTCCATCAGCTCACTGCCTTTTGAAGATGAAGAGCGTGAGTTGGCACTTAACAAGTTAACCAAGTCTGTGTCTGCACCCCAGATCAGCAGCCCTGAGGATACTGCTGAAGGTGAAGACACCATAAAGAACACAGGGGGATTTTCTGAAGATCTGGACCTGTCTAGCAAAGACGACAGTTCACCCAGACACAGTTCTCCTTCTTATGGTGGGTCTAGGGTCCAGGATGTTAGAGCAGGACATTCCCTTGCAGATATAGCTTTAGATTCTGACAGACCCCAGGGCCCTGGGTACATGGACATCCCCAAAGGCAAAGAGAATCACCCTGATCTTCAAGGACCCTATTGCCTGGATGGCATGGCCGAGACCACACTACATGTTAAAACCAAAGGTCTTAACTTAAAAATACCATGTACTATAGTGCTTGAAAATTCTAAGACCAGGTCTCTTCATAGAGCAGCAGTGGCAACTGCAAAAGGTAAATCTAAAGAAATGAGCATGAGTAAACACATGCTCTCCAACAACAGCATCTCAGAAGTCAGGGCTGCGTCTCACCACAGGGTGCCTGAACTCAGTTGTGCACCAGCTATTGAAGCTGTCAACCTGAACTCTACAGGTGTACAAAATGATTCACTAAGTCTCAATGATACTATGACATTGAATAGAAGACATAATGCCTCTCTGGAGGCCAAACATGAAGCAGGCACTGTGTGCCCCACTGTGACTCATACTATTGCCTCCCAAGTGTCACAAAACCAAGAGCTGAAGACAGGAACTTCCATCTCTGGGTCCCACTTGAACTCCACAGAGGCCTTTACTCTGGATAACCTGAAGGCAGTGGAAGTTGTTAACTTGTCTGTGTCTTGCACTGCCACATGTCTCCCTTTCTCATCTGTACCCAAGGAGACCTCTGCTAGGGCTGGGCTTTCTTCCAAACAAAGCCCAGCTCCAATTACTCATCAACCTTTGGGTTCTTTTGGCGTTGTTTCTACCTACTCCAGCAAACTGGAAGAAGAAGTCAGTGAAAGGATGTTCAGGTAAGCTTGTGGATACTTTACAGGTCCTCAAACAATCATTTAAGTATTCCCAAAGTTTTCTTAGCTTCATGCATACTATTTGAACATGGAGGTGTTTGTTATTTTCACTTAAACAAAACAATAATGTACATATTATGCAACTAAGAATGTTTAAGTAATATACAAAGAATTACAAATAAGCCCATCTCCCAACATAACAGAGGAATAGAAATTTTCTATACTGATATTTGTCCCCTAATTAGGAGATTTACCTTTTAATAAAAATATGACTATTGTGACACATCTTTATTTTTTTCCATTTTAAAATATTAGAAATATCTTTGAATATAAGTCTATTTTCATTCTGTATTTTAATGCTTCCATAGAAGTCCTTTTTATGGATGTATCATGATTTATTAACCAAATTCTTAGTGGGTATATATGAAAATTTTGTTTGGGTTTTATTGTGATATACTATTTTATGAATACCACAAAGACTCAATCTTTTCATATTTTGAAAAGGAGATTTTAGGACCTTTCTGGGAACAGGACTCCATCAGATTTGTCTTCTATGTTCCCTTTAAGATTGTGGGCTTCTCAAAGCAACTATCTCTTTGCAGTAGCAGAATTTATAGCTTGCAATTTATAGCTTGATTATTGGCTTGCAATTTATTCATTTGTACCCTCAATTATCAGATACATCTTTTATTGGACACATAATAGAAGTATTTTGTCAGAATACCTCATAATCATTCTTCTCTTGCCAAGAACTAATAGTTACTCATTTTCCCATAAAGAAATACCCAGGTAGATAAACATTGGACATTCTATGTAATAAATAATATTAAATATCTGTCATATTACACTCCAAGAAGTCTAGATAGACAATGTCCAAAGCTGCCACAGACTTGTCCCAGATACTAATAGTCTTGCAGGAAATCTGGCAGATGATAACAAAACAGTAATTAAGAACAGTGTTGGACCTGTTTGAAAATTCCTACATGCTACGTGGAGCCAAAGGTTTTTTTCTGGAAGCAAGGAATCTATGTATTAGAGAAAGGGGCAAAAGAAACACTTTGGAGGAGAAAATGTCTTCACTGAGGGGAAACAGGTGGGGATGCTGATGAAAATACTGGAACATCATTAACTTGCACATTATCTAATCATAATCCACAATTGTACAATATCTCACATCTAAAAGTTTACATGTTTTTATTGCTGTAGATCAAAATTAGCATCTTGCTCATATTGGGCAAGAAATCTACAATTAAACTGTTATAACATCCTATTGAAATCTAAACTATTTTTGAAATCTGGTGTGACAAAAAACTATGAAGAATTTTGTACCATGAAGTTGTCTTGTTCAGCTCTAATAAACTATTACATTAAATTGCTTTACCTTTATGTGATGTGCTTAGGCCATACAGAAAACAAAACTTAATTCAGTATATAGACAGGGTCTCAGTCGCAAGTTATCTCACTATGTACAGTTATATATCCCTAAATCTTAAAACACTGAAACTTGAAATCGTTTTTTCATTGGCCTGCATTGTATTCATTTGCACATTAAACTCTAGTAATCCCAACCATTTTAGATAGCTAGCAGTTATCAGAAGTATTAAAACCAAGACTCTAACCTTGGTAATCTCAATGTTGTTAACCACCATTTTGTCAAGTGAGCACACACTCTTAGCTCAGTATAAAAGTCATGTCTGAATGCTAGAATATACATAGGCACCAAGAAACCAAGCCATGCCAAGCCAGTTTATAATACTGACTAGAAAACAAGCAAACAAAAACAAAACAAAAGAAACAAACTCCAAACCTCAAAACCTGTGTTGCTCTTAGGAATGCATGGAGATAGTCCTTGAATAGCAGACAGAAGCTAAGCCATGGTAGGCCTGTATGACAGGAAAGGGACTTCTATCAGGAGAGAATTTTAAATGTATTCCCATCCTGTAACTGCACAGACTCTTGTCTCCTCACCCAGTCTCCTATTCAATTCAGGATTAAAATAAAAATCTGTAGAATCAAAAATCTTGGGGTTTTGTTTGTTTGTTTGTTTGTTTGTTTGTTTACTTGGGGATATTTTCCTGTCTCTTTAGTAAGAACAGCATCTCCCATAATATATATTTAACTTTTGATGTTAAGAAAACAATTTGCACGTAAATAATCATCAGTCCTACATGCCAGTCCAATTCATTCCCTGCTGAACATGGAATACACAGTATGGCTTGTGATTAATTGGTATATTCTCCAGTTTTTATCAGGCCAAAGAAAAGTTTAAAAAAGAACTGAAGATTGAAGGCTTTCTGTACAGTGACTTATCTGTACTAGCTTCTGACATACCATATTTCCCACCAGAGGAAGAGGAGGAAAACTTGGAAGATGGGATTCACCTGGTGGTCTGTGTCCATGGCCTGGATGGTGAGTTCTAAAGAACCTTATTCTTCAGATTACTATCTTACATTCAATTTAGTTTTATGAAATAATTTAGATAGGCATTTAATCTAAAACCAACTAAATATGAAAAATTACCATCTAGGGAAAGATATGGCACAAGAATATATATATATGTGTGTATGTGTGTATGTGTGTATGTGTGTATGTGTGTATGTATGTATATATTATGTATCTGAATTAATTCATGAATTAATTAAATTAGTGATGAGAATTTTATTAATAGAATGAACTAAGAAATTGGATAATAAATGGAATGAATGTAGAGTTAATGAATGAAGAGATGGATGCATTGGAATGAATATCTCAATGGAATGAAGGAATTGGTGGAATCTGTGAGTCAACAGAGCCTGGCTCTATAAGAAGAAATGGAGAGGAAGGAATAACCGATACATTTTAAGGACCCTGGGGTAAATGTTTGCAACTATTTGGCTATTATTTTCGTCTCATCTTTTGTTTATTACACACTACCATGCTCTAGGATTTGTAGAGATAAAAATGACCTTTATATTCATCTGTCCAATGTCACTAAAGAGTGATTCCTGCCTATTATTTTGAAAACTCTAAAATTGTTTGCAAGTGAGAAATCTGGGGACCCAGAGAAGGCTCAATGGTTAAGAATACTTGGTGCTCTTCTAAAGGACCTGAGTTTGCTTCTCAGTGCCTGTAATGAATTACTAAGTGGCATACAACAGCCTGTAACTCCAGCACCAACGTAATCTAATGCCCTTTTCTGATCTCTGAAGCTACCTGGATACCTGTAAAAATCACTCCCTTAGATATATATATAAATAAGAATAATAAAAATAAATCTTTAAAGCAAGAACACTGGTGAGGCAATAGGCCTTTGGTTTTTTACCTCATACATATTAAAACAGAGTTGTGAAACCAAGGTAGAGATGATTTGCCAGTATTGTATTAATTCAGACAGCTGGGATGTCCTTGACAGCATCACCCAGGTCACAGGTCAAAAGAAGTAACACATGATAACAAAGAGAACTTTCATAATATTACTTCAGTAGTTCATAGTACATGTGTATAACCTCTTCAGAAAATTATAAGATCTATTGTTTAAATCTTTCCAATAGCATATTTATATCGAGGACTGAGTACACTAAGATAAGTTATGAATATTTATACAGGCTCTCTGTTGTGCCAAAAGCCTAAAATATATCTTCTTGTAAATGTTCTCAGTCTAACACATTACTAAATAAAATTGTTTTAGAAAGTTTTAGGTTCAGCAACTTCTTTTATTCTTAGTATCTTGAGGAGAGAAGGATATTTTGTTCACAAAACTCTTCATGTTAATTATAAGCATTCCCAACTTTTTAAAAGGCCACTACCAAAATATCATTAGGGAAATTTAAGCCATAACATGAGTTAATCCAAAGAGTATATATTTATTGATATAATCAGAGTGATGACATTTAATTTCCTAAAAAATTGTATCTTTCCTAAAAGAAGATGACCTGGAGCCTACAGGTTTGATTATGTGCTACAAGGATTATATGTCCCAGGTAATCATCTGGGAATATTCACATGAGGTTGGTCCCAAATCTTTAGTTCTTCCAAATTTCATGTGATTCTTTAGTGCATCTTTGAATTATTGGTGAAATGTATAATGAATGATATAAAATTAGTTGTATTTTCACTTATAGTATATAAGTTCTCTGAAACCATGACATTTAGGGTTGGCTTACATGGAAAAGCACACTACCAAGATATCAAATAGGTTGCAACTCCTACAAGGGATCCTACAGGAGTCCAGGAGAGAAACAAGCCAGATATTAAGATACAATGTCGATACAATGGAATCCCCATGGCCCAAGTGAAATGTATGCCTAACCTAGTCAGTTATATCAAATTCATTCTTCATGTGACTTTTTATGTCAACAATGTATTCCATATGCTGTTTGTGCCTCTCATCCTAGCACCTTCCTAGAGCACATTCCTTGGCCCTTGATGATGTGCTTCGACATTTACAAGCTTACTAATTCATTATCGCTTGGCCCGTGGGTAATTCTTCCTCTATTTAGTCAACTGAACCATAGCTGACTATTCATCTTTTCCTACTTACCTATAAATGATAGGTAAATAATTTACGAGGGGAATGTCATTAGGTAGCCTCTTCCAAAACACTAGTGAGAGACTAGTTTTCTGGGGAATAAAGAAAACTGGTATGCCAGGTGAAGGGATGATTCCACTGAAGAAAGGCCATTTAAAAGCTCTCACAGCTGGGTGTGTACATAGATTGGGATAACAAGAGAAGAACATGTGGAGATACTCCAGTTATTTGTTGTTATCTGCTTAAAATTAAAAGGAAACTCCAATTGGAATCTGGGAAAGGGAAAGTAAGAAATCTCTTGTGAGTTACTATGATTAATTATATGACCAGAGTTATCTGTCATTTTTAGGGAACAGTGCAGACCTCCGGCTGGTGAAGACGTTCATAGAATTGGGGCTCCCTGGGGGTAAACTGGACTTCTTAATGTCTGAAAAGAATCAGGTATGAGAATCAGAAATGTTGGGTTGAGAGAACATTGTATTTGAAGGAGCCTCTTAAAGGTACCAAGACACATGAATGAAGGGGGGTCCTTTGAAGAATATCCAAGTGCTTGGGTGGTTGGAAAGGAAAAAAAAAACTTTCTGTGAAACTATGGATAGGAGTTGGCATATATCTACTGAGTGGAAGCCTATGGCTTCATTGAGCATTGCAATCATGGCTGCTTAGAGCATCAACTATATGGGCATCTATGTAGTTACAAGGGGGACAGTGCATTGTCACATGCCACTAAGAAGCCAGGGGATGATGATTGCTTTACAATCAGATGTGGTATACAGAGGCTGTGACTCTATAGAAGTGTCAAAAGTCAAAGAGACATTACTGTATCTATGAGCAAGAGATAGGGATGGTCAGAGAATGAGATAAATGAGTCACAAGCATCGTTCAAAAGAATATAGCTATTAATAATCAAAAAAGAGGTCACACGATTAATGGAAGTGGTAGTTATACAGGTCCCATCAGAACTTGAGAAGGTATTTGTTGCCAAGCCTAATAGTCTCAATTCAATCCTTGAGGCCTACATACTAAAAAGTAAGCACCAACTCTCCTATGCTGTTTATTGACTTTCATGCACACATAAATTAATAAATGTTCAAGAGCTGAAAAGACATAGCTCATGCCTCAACAGCTAGTGCCTAGTTCCATTGCCTGCTTTTGGCACTCTTGTGCTCTAGACCATGTGAAAGGCAGTAAAATGTGAGGGAGAGAGTTAGGAAAACCATCATTCAAGGGCCTTTTGCTTTCAGGGTAACTATCACAGTTTCCCCTTTCCACCTTCAAAGTGATTCAACTGCTAACTACTGGCACCGACTCTTTACAGAATAGGGAATGGATCCCAAAAGCTCTTCAGAGAATCTTCCTGCTGATCTGAAGAAAAGGATGTTATACAAAATTTCAAAGCATTTATGTAGCTATGTCTTGAGGTAGATGGCCCAGATCATTCAGAGGAGGGGGAAGAATGAGTGAGCAGTGTTCCTTGAACTTGTGTTGGCTTTATCCTAGTGAAGTTTACTCTTCAGGGAAGATGGATGTGGTTAATAGCAGAGCTACTGCCAGGAATCCAGCCTTGATTGGATATCCCTCCATGTACTCTATGATGTGTACTAGGACATCTGTGTTCCTCATGTGTTTTGCAAGCTTGTTTGAACAAGGTTTCTGGGCAAATCACTAAAGTGGAGGGATTCTTCTCAATAATAATTAAGTCCTATTTTGCTATTTCACTGAAAGTCTTGCAAAGAACTCAGAATGCATAGGTCCTTTCAAAGCACGATGATTGTGAAGCTCCTGGGATGTGTCTGTAGCTTACTATGATTTTCAGAGCATTTTTCATCATAGTGAGTACAGGCTTCACTATCATACAATTGTAAAATAATGAATATGCTAACCAGTGATTTCAAAGGGAGCAAAGAGGCTCTTTGAAACTAGAAGGTCATGATAATTACAGTACCAGTCTAGGTATGTTAATGTTTTCAAGAGTCTTTAAAAGATGGTGAGGAATATGTTGGATTCTCTACTTTTAAAGGCCAAAGAGATACAGATTCTGGCTGTGGAAGCTATGGAACACAGGCACAGCCTCGGGAGAAGCAGATCTGTAGATAAGATCATATTGTATGAAGTCTAACAGAAGCACCACTGTTCTGTGTTCCTCTCATGCTGCAAGCTTTGGGTGACCATAGACTTAAGGGTCATTTATCTCTTTGTAGCCCCTTCCTCAAGTATACTCAATTATTCACCATCAAAATGAATATTCATGAGAGTTTTTGGCTGGAAGCTCAGGTATCCTGAAGTACTGTTGCTCCTGCACTGTTTAGGATGGATGTTTTTGCTTAAATAAACTTCTTTGTTGCTTCCAATCATATTCCTAAAATTTGGTTATATAAACCAATCTGTTATTTCTTCAAGTACTTAGATGTATGGAATTTCCCCCCTCTTCTACCATTTGGCCATCCTTCATAAAACATGAATGGCTTTAAAATCTTTCCCAAAGTCAATGTCGTGGCATTAACTTGTGTAATAACCTGATGGTTGTGGTAGGTTAAAAAAAAAACCCAGAGCTTTAAAGTCTGCCAATTTTTCCTTCTATTGCTGTGATAACACCATGACCAAAACCTAATTTGTGGAGGAAAGGGTTTATTTCACTTAGATTTCTTACACCACAGTCCATCAATGATGGAAGTGGGGGGGTGGAAACTCAAGGCAGAAACTTGGAAACATGAACTGAAGCAGATGTCTTAGAAGAACAGTGCTTACTGGCTTATTCTTCATGGGTTGATTAGCCTGAATGCTTAGGAGGTAGCACAGCTCACAGCCAGCTGTGGCTTCCCACATCAATTACCAGTCAAGAAAATACACAATAGGTTTGAAAACAGGTCAGTCCAGTTGGAACATTTCCTCAAATGGGATTATTTCTTCCCAAGTATCTTTAGCTTTTGTCAAGATGACAAAAATCATCAATCAAGCAAACAGACAATAACAACAAAACCCAAACACACAACACAAGGGTCAAGCATATCTTGGTGTGAATCCTGGCTCATACACACTGAGCAAGTGATCTCCCCTAGCAGGGCCTGCTTTCTCCTCTGGGAAGTAGTGACAGCAGACACAGTGAGCTCAAGTTGTGACAGCAGGCATCACATGCCAAGAACGTATACTCACATTGTCCACTGCATCCCCTTAACTAAAGACTTTTTAGCATGCAGCCAGTTTCTTCATTAGAGCCCATTAGATCTTGTTTTAGAAGTTATATCTCAAACTATAACCCCTACAAAAGGCTTACACACCTTTCCAGAAAATATCATGCTGTTTAAAGAAAGAGAATTTATTTGTGTAGAGCCCTAACTTCTCCCAATACCTTCTCCCTTCTCTTCTTCCAGATGGACACATTTGCAGATTTTGATACCATGACAGATCGATTGTTGGATGAGATTATTCAACACATCCAGTTGTACAACCTCTCCATATCCCGAATTAGGTAAAAGGAAACCACAGGTAGCTAATGCTGAGGGAAGACAGGTGACCTGTTTTTGAGTATGTCATATATGAACCTTAAGAAACTCCTGTAAGCCACTGTGATAACTGAACTTTTGGCTCTTAATGAATCTGGTTACTTTCAGGCAGCAGCAAATGTGTGAGTGAGTACCAAATCTGGTTTATCACCTATATATCTCTCATAATACGGGTGATAAGAATAGGTATGTTGCTACTCATCAGTAAGAGTCTTGACTTAATATAGTAGTCTCTAGGCTTGAATTCATGTTGAAATTCTCACAAGTTTAGGCTTTGCCATGTACTGAGTATGTAACATTTTGAACTTGCACTTTTGATGTCTTGATTGGATTGTCAGGAAATAGACATACTAGAATCCCAAAGGAATCTCCTCTCCAATTAAAGGCTTTCAGCCAGTTCCAACTGTATCCTTACAATATGAAATAAACATTTGTCTAAATATTTAGAAAACTCACAATAAAGGAAACAGCTTGCATTTTTCTTTATTATATAGATGCATCAACATAGGACTAAGGTCAGGATATCAGTTATTCTTTTTAGTGTTCAGAGGTAGGATATAATATATTTATTCCACAAACAAGGAGTCTCCTTTTAGAGGTTTGGTTTTAATGATGGGACACAGTCCAGGCAATCCAATTGTATAGGCTAACACCTGTATCTTTACTTTGCTGATTTTATACTTATTGTGAGAGGAGGTAAGGCAGCATACTGTCATACTATATGGCTTTGATAATTAATTGAAATATGAATGGCATATTGAATTTATGGATCCGAAGGAATCAGGAAGTTTGAACAGAGCATGTAGGAGGATAGCCAGTCAGTGTAATTGGGAGCAGGCAGCTCAATACATGTGCAGAGAAATAAGGGGATGAGTGGAGTCAGAATGACAGTTGGAGCTGAGATTAATAGTCTCTTAGGAAAGTGCAAGGGACTGGAATTTTAGTTTGCAAATGACCAGAAGAGCACGGTATTTAGATATGCAGACTTGAGTAAGGACTCCATGCTGTCCCCAGATGGGCTAAGAGGAAGCCTGGGGACCAGAGATCAGAGGTGCTGCTCTACTAATGGAGATCTGAGGTAAACATGTCAATTCTCCCATACCTCATGATACTTGCATAGAACTGCCATCCCCAAGGGCCAGATGAAAATGAATCCATAGTCATCATATGTTGTGTTGTGCCTCTGTACCTGGGGAGGTGGATGGTGCTAAGACCTTGGTGTTTATCATCCCAACCCATCCCTGAGCAGTAGTCCTCTGCTGTCATTGACATGTGTCATTCCTGCCTCTAAACAGTTTCATTGGCCACTCTCTTGGCAACATTATCATCAGATCGGTCCTTACAAGGCCCCGGTTCCGGTATTACCTCAATAAACTCCACACATTCCTGTCATTGTCTGGGCCTCACCTCGGGACTTTGTACAACAACAGCACCCTGGTTAGTACTGGTAAGTCTTCTTCACCCTCATTACTCTCTAAAATTTATCAGAGGCATGAGAAACTTGGAACTGGAGACAGAAGTTATTGATGGAATATTATAACTATCACAAATGGAGGATGGGGGAATGGAGATTTTGTATGAAAATGTGGTACATATACACAATGGAGCTTTTATTTAACTACAAAAGAAAAGGAACTTATGAAATTTGCAAGTATAAACTTACAGAACTTAAAAATAGCATGTTAAGCTAATATTTAAACCCAGAAGGACAAATACTGTATGTTTGTTCTCATATTTGGAACATATTTTTTAATTGTTAAATTTGACTAAGGCCTCTTACCATATAATATTCATTAACTTTTTCTGAAATTGAGACTACATTTGTCTACATGCATGTTTTCATGTGTATACATGTCTCCAGTGTGTATATTGTATGTATGTATAATACATACAATAATACATATAATATATATAAACATATATATGATTTGTATATGTGTTTAAACATGTATGGAATATATTTATAAATATGTGTGTTCATATTTATATTTCAGTATCCATTGCTGATTGCTTTTATGATCCTCACATATATCAAAAGTTATAAATTCTTAAGTCTGTCATTTAAATTTCCATAGTTTCTACATGTAACCTAGACAAACCTTTTTCATACTTTATATCATCTCCAGACTTATTTTAGTTGTTAATAAATTACAAATGTTATATAAGAAACTGAATCACAATGTTGTCTATGGGTAATGTCTAGAAAAAATCTGCACATGTTCAGTCAATACCACAGAAAAGGATGAAGAGAGAACAAATATTTAAACGTAAGGAAGAAGAGGAGGGATGATAATGGGGAGAGGAGAAAGGGACAGGAATCAGAGAGGAGGAGGAGAGAGGCTTGATGTATTTTAAAACATGAGCAGGGTTTCTAAGGCAGTTGAAGGTTTTCTGTGTAGAATGTCTGGTGTACGTAATGTCCTAGAAGGGTGCTTTAATCAGCAGAGTGATGGATACTCTCAGGGATAGACCCACGGAACTTCATAGTGTAACATGGATGCAGTGCAGGACAATAGCCTGATGATGATGGGCCTTACATGATGCAGCAAGATGCTAGAAAAATATGCACATCACACAGACAGTATTTGTTCATTTACAATAATTGTTAGTGTGTTAAAGTACATCTTTTGATGCAGTGTTTTCATTGATTATTTGAAAATTTTATACATACATACAATGTATTTTGATCCTATTCACCTCCTATTCCTCGAGATCCACCCTGACACATCTTATAGAGTGGGAGGAAAATATATCTTAGTTATACCTCTGACAGAGAATTGGTATCTAGAACATAAAAAGACCTAAAAGCATTGAACACCAAGAAACTAAACAACCCAGTTTAAAAATAAAGACAGGCTTTAGAACTGAACAAAGAGTTCTCAAAAGATGAATCAGGACTATGTATTTACTGATTACCAGATCCATTCTGTAGCATTGGGGTCATCTCCAATGAGCTCTCTCTCCTCTAATTCTTTAGTCTTCCCCATATTTCCTATCCACTCTGGAACTTATTTCAAGTTGTGATTCAGATTCATGATCATTCTCTCAAGTAACTTAAGGATGATCCTTGTGCTCCTGGCATATTTGGTTCTTTTATATGTAACAAATATAAAGTCTTTTTGGCACAAAACCAAAGCTATCTTTGAACAAAGATAAATTAATTTAGCCATTCCACCTCATAATTATAAGCTTAAAATATAAAAAGTTTTTAAAAAGATATATTACTCAACTCATCCAACCTAGAAAACCTAAAGTAATTCCATGTGGTTCATATTACTTCTTTGTATACAGTATATATAATAAATATGATATAATATAGTATATATTCTATATTATATACTATTATATATGTCATATATTATGAGTTATGTGTTATATGTTATATATCGTACCATATATTTCATGTTTCATTATATTAGTAATTACATATTATATTTCTTAATATATTAATATATTAATATATAATTTTATCTAATTATAAATATATGAATATAATTATCAAGTGGTTATATTTACTATGAAATATAATATAGTATATAAAATTATATTGCAATTATAAAGATATACTATATACAATAATATACATTATAGATACCATCATATAGTCTTCATGTTTTTATGGCATTTGTTCCTTGGTTGTTGATACATAGTATACTCTTGTAAGCATCTGCTTAAGGATTACATTGTCTCTAAGAAATCTATTCTAGTTTTCCAGTCTGTGGATCTTTATTGGGTACCATTTCCTTTGGCTTACTTCATGGAAGGAGCCCAAATAGAGATCACAGAATGCCTAGTTTCATGAACTGAGAAGCCTCTTGCTATATCATTTTTCAGAACAATTTTATACTTCTGTTAGCAACACTAAGAATGTAAATTTAGGGACCGGGGACATGAATCAGTAGATAAAAAACTTGGCTGCATCCATATAAGAATGTGGATTCAAGTTTCTAGAACTGAAAGAAATGTGGGTGTGCCCCTCCACAGCTGTAACCCCAATGCTCTGGGGAAAGAAGATGGAGATGGGAAGGTTTCTAGGGCTTGCCATCTCAGCCTCCCTCAGTGTTCAATGAAATAAGTGTGGTAGATCAGGCATTGGATTGGATACTCATTAGACACCTGATATTCTTGTCTCTGTGCACACTAAAACTTAACACCTATAAAACACAAAATTAAAACAAACAATACAAATTAACTCTTAATCTTCTGATAAAATTTGCTTTGTTCTCTTTACTTAAAGCTAACTGAAAAATATCTTCTCTAGCTTTCTTATGCCCTGCTTTTTAAATCTTCATTTCCCTTTTCCTAGGCTTGTGGCTCATGCAGAAACTGAAGAAATCTGGCTCCCTTTTGCAGCTGACCTTCAGGGATAACGCTGATCTGCGCAAATGTTTCCTTTACCAACTTAGCCAAAAAACAGGTGTGTGACTTGCTTGGCACCTGAAGTTAAGACTTGAAAACAGAATAGCCCTGATGCTGTGTTCATTTGCTCCTCTGAGGTATAGTGAGATGTCTAGCAGTGTCTCTTCAACCTGCTGAGGGGCCAGCATGTTAGCATGTCTCAACCATCTCCTATGTAGCACAGGAGCCACAGTGTGTGTAGGGTCAAGGTAGTGCCCAGAAGCTGTAGCCTCTATTTCCTGGCAATCATGTAGTGTACTATGTTGGCAGGTCTAGTACCATGTTTCCTCTTCACCTGTGTAGATCCATCCTCAAAAAAGAGTGAGTAGAGCATTGTATGTGTTCCCACAGGATCTTCCTTTTATATTCTCCTTCACCCAATGATGATAATGCAAAGAGTACTGTGAAAACTCAGCCTAGATCATAGAGATCACAGCAGAGGAAAGCGTCAATCATGGACCAGTTGTCCATGTCTAGGAAGGGAGCAGAGCCACCAACTGATTGACCTAAACAGTACTGCTGTACAACAAGCCTGCCCAGATGCATCATATAAGCTCATATTGATACCTCTGGGTCCAATTCATTTACAGGCTTAAGCCTGTACTTTTATACTTGTGTCTCCTTGTGCCAAGGGGAGTATTCAGTTAAGTCCTGTGGGAAGTAAGAGAGGTAGAACTGGGCATACAAATATGGTGAATTGTAATGATGTCAACAAAAAAGGCTCAGCTTGTTTCAGCCATGGAGAGGTGAAGAGCTCAGGTGCTATTACAGTGCTGTATTGAAGTTGATTATGGGGTTACCTTGATCCTTCCTGGGCCCATATCAGCCAGTCATTGCCCTGGATTCTGCCCCAGTGTGTGATGCTGAGTTGTGATCTTGGCTATAGATGTGGGGATCTACAGGGAGAGGGTTAGCCAAGAGATGTCAGCCAATATCTTGTTCAGCTAAATGTACAGTAGGAGGAGCTAACTTAGGAGGATAAGTAAATGTAGGGCAAGAAGAAGAGCTCCATCTGAAGGTGAGAGCTGAGTGCAGTGTACTATGCTCTGTTCCCAGTTGTCCATGATGGATACTGAAGGCTGCATCACTGTGCTGAGCTGACATTTGGGCTGGAAGATCTTGTATTATCCCTGTGGGGAATAATATAGGAAGGCAGTGTTGGAGGAAACAAGGCTGGAGAGGTTGAGGCTGAGGGAAGCAAGACTGGAGGAGGCAAGGCAGGAAGCAGGTGAGGGGACTGGAGGCTGCTTTGCTACTGCAAGTGACAGCTTACTTCGGGAGTCAGGAAGAGGGGAAAATAAAATTAAAAAAAAAAACTTTCCTATGGGCTTTATAATTTTCTAGCCCATGGAGGTATGTTTTATTCTCATCCATGTTCACAGCAAAACTCCCATGATCTTCCTTGGCTTCTATTTCTCTTGAGGTCAAGAAATTTATCTTATATCCAAACCACAAAAGCCCTAATATATTGAGTTCCTTTCTCAGCTTCCCACAGGTGCCTGATATGCCTCCTTCCAAATTCTGTGTGGTGACACTCAGATCATCAGCCCTGTGCAAAGGCACAACACTCTGTCAGGTATCTCTACATGCCAGTCTCTGGGAAAGACCTCAAAATGAGTACAATCCAGAGACTATGTCAGTGTAAAGGGCCTGGGTAGAAAGTATTCACCTTCCTTCTTGTTACAGGGCTGCAGTATTTTAAAAACGTTGTTCTGGTTGCTTCTCCCCAAGACCGCTATGTGCCATTTCATTCAGCCAGGATCGAAATGTGTAAAACTGCCCTTAAGGACAGACACACAGGTAAGCTATGGTTCCTCTTGAAAGGGACTTTCTAATTTTCGAAGCAAAAGTACATTTATGAAATCCTGAATACATTTATTAGCAACAGCTAGGTTCTCGCTCAGGTTTGCACACTGCGGCACTGATCCAGAATGGAATGTGGTATAGGCACACAGTCTGGGTACACACACACACACACACACACACACACACACACTCCTGTTAACAGTACAGATTATTTTCTTCATGTGATGTGAACAGCCATTTGCTTGTCAAATGCCTGGAAATGGTAAGCTCTGTTTGTGTGTTGTCCATGGAAAATAGAATGAATACAGACTTGAGAAATGGGCTCTGTCCTTTACACCTTCTATGTCCTCTATGCCCTCTATGGGCTTATTTTCCAAGTAGAGCACCAGAGAAGCAGCTGTGCTGAGAGCAAAGATCAGTGGATAAAGAAGGTAAATAATGTGTGATGCATTCGGGTGTCATGGGAGGGAAATGAGAAAAGGGGTAGAGTCTATTGGGCTCCATGGAGAAGACAACTGACTAGAGTGTCCAGTTTCCTAAGCAACCAGGATCAGAACATGGGCTACCATTCCTTGTTTCCTTTCATTGATTAGTTTATACATATACTTTGCTGTGTCAAAACAAGTGTGGGTTTTTTGTTATATTCTTATTTTTTTTTTTTTTAGTCTGAAAGAGGTCTAGATACTCATGTAAACATTCAAAGTTTCTATTGAAACCCACAGGAACATGGATGGAAATTTACCTAATGATTTAGTGCAGAAAATAGGTCTGTGGTTTTTACATTCTAGTAGTGTTCTAGAAAGTAGCTTAAGCATGTCACACAAAGGGTTTTTTTTTAATGTCATTTGCTTGTTTGTTTTTAAAGACAGAGTCTAGTTATGTGGCCCTGGATGGTCTGAAGTCATTTTGTAGACAAGACTGGCCTTGAGTTCATAGATCTTCCTGCCTCTGCTACCACATATAGTGAGAAAACTATTCTAAAAGTAGAAAACTATTAAAAATGAACCTTTCTAAAAATTTGGAGAGATAGCTAAGTGATTAAGAGGATGTACTGCTCTTGCAGAGGACCTGAGCTCTGTCACAGTACACACGTCAGGCAGCTGTAATCCTAGTACTAAGGAATCCAATTCCCCCTTCTGCCCTCAAGAGACACTCAAACACAGATGTCATAAACACACACACACACACACACACACACA